TCTAAAAAGTGGCCAACACCAAGGTGCCATACAGTCTGGTTAAAGCTAGAGTACAACATTTCATCAACCAAGCTGTTGAATGCCATAATGTTTTTATTCATCTTAGGGAGTCTAGACGGTAAAACTGCTGTGACAAACAACTTCGCCTTAGGGCACAGTTTCTGGATCTGCTGGATTTTCAGGTGGAGAATGTCTACCAGCTGGTGTATATCACCAGGTGACTGCACATTTTCAACTCGTAGATCGTTGGTCCCACAAACTAAGATGACGTTGCTATAACCAATGCAGAGCTTAGGGTCTATTGCACTGACCTTGTTGGCTTTAACACGTTCACCTGGGAAGGACTGTCCAAGGGTTCCAGTACCGACACCGAACTTGATGGGCTTGGTGTTAGAGTCGCCCATGATGATGCAGCTCCGGCTAAACTGTTTGCTCACAGTTCTCAGTGTGATGGAGAACCTTCCTGTCTGCACAGAAGACTGAGTTTCAGCAGGACCTGTTTCATCAATACCGTGACGATACCAGGCTTGTGACGATCGTGTCATCACATACACTGAGTTAGATTCTGGACTCACACTATGAACATACTCAGTTGAGGCTTCGTTTCCGGTCTCATGGATGCACTTAAAGCACACCTTCCTGACGTCGCCTATGCTGATAGTAGCAATTTCTGAGTTAGCAATAATCTCAGACTCATCGTCAGAGTGAAAAGGGAGCTTGCTACTAATGGTGGTATCAACTGAGGGAGGGTAGTAGTTTATCAGGATGGAGTTGGGCTTATGGGTCAGTCTGCACTTTGATGTAACTGCGTCTATGGCTGAGGCAAGGGGTGCTGGGATTGTGGGGGATAGGGGTGGGTCTGAATCACCAGTATAAGAGTAGTCTTCCCCAAACTTGAGGACCTGTCTTCCATTCTTCGGGATGAACTTATTACTAGCTTGGCTCTCCAGGAGAAACTCTGTAACTTCTTTGAGGATCTCAGCACTTAGCACATCGACCAGGTAATCACACACTGGAGGTTCTGTGCATTTAGGGAGGGGGATTTCTGTAGCAGGTGGTGCTTCAGATGGACTTCTGGACTGCTAAAATTCATGAATCTCTTGACTCAGCTTCTTCAGTCTTGTCTCCAGGGATACAATCTCCACAGTAGGCATACTGTTACCAACAGCATTAGAAATAGCATCTGATATAGCCTGTATGTTCTGGCTGTAGTCTACAGAGCTCTTTAGGTTGTTGTCCATCTTGGCTGACATGCTGGAGCCTGGTCTGGGGAATGATGTATCGAAACACCATGGACATAGCCATTCTGAGAGAATCATATTCAGAGAAGCTTCAAGAGGTGTATCGTGCTGAATGTTGTTAGCACCCTTGAGATTGCAACAGGAAGCATGCCAGTGCTGAAAACATCTGGTACACTTGAACTTCCATTCCTTACCATCTGATGTTGATCGGCAAGGACAATCACTCTTTGAAGCCCGTTGTTTTACTGTAGGTTTATCCTGGATTTCAAGTTCTTCAGCAGACTCTTCAGCACGGGAGAATGGAGGAAAGGACTTGTACAGAGGGCTCATTGGACTGCTGGGGCTCTCTCTGAGGTTCGATGATTCTAAAGCTGATATCAGGTTTGGGCTGATCTTTTCAATAACCAGATTACCTGGAGGTTTAAGAACAGATGTCTCTGGTTGTTCTTGGGGTGACTTTGATGGGCGTTTACCCAGCACAGCTTTCTGGGCCATTGCGCTAGGGCTGTTCCTGCGCAGGGCTTTGTTGTCTGCTAGAGGTTTCTTCTTTTGGGAGGAAGCTCCTCTGCCGGATGGTGACATGCTAGCTCTGGATCCTGGGTTGGTAGGAGGAGGAGTGTGTCTAGGGGAACGCCTTTGGGTACTAGCACTTGAGGTAGTAGCCATGATGATATGATATCAGAGATATGTCCGGAGTCCAGGGGGCCAGCTTGGACAGACCCCTGCACCTCAAATTATTTGTTATATAGTAGTGTTGAAAGTATTAAAAGTATCTCCATGGACTGATCTCTAAGATTCTCAATTGCTGGAGCTCCAGCAATTGAGAATCTTAGAGATCAGTCCAAGGTTGAAGAGTACTGCATTGCTCTTCAAAATCGTTTTAGCTGCCTACCAATGGAGGAGAATCTTGATGGAGAATGGACATTAGTTAAGGATACCATTAAAGAAGTGTCTATGGAGGTACTGGGTGAGCGCCCCCGGCGCAGAAAGCAGCAGCATTTGTCTCAGGAGACAAAAAGCCTTGTTGCAGAACGCAGTAAGATTAAACAGATGGCGCCTAGTGACAACAACAATAGGAGCGAGTATTCTCGGGCCAACAAACTTGTCAAAAAGAGCTGCAGGAAAGACGACGAGAATTGGGCTCTTAGAGTTGCAGCAGATCTGGAAACAGCTGCTGTCCATGGCCGGCAAAGGGAAGTCTGGCAACGGATAAAAACACTGTCCGGTAAGAAGAATCGAAAATCAACTGCTGTAAGAGACAAATCCGGGAAGTTGATTGCTGATCCTTCTGCTCAGAGAGAGAGATGGGGAGAACATTTTTCGGAGCTATTAAACCCTCCTCCCACGAATGCGGATCTGTCTGACCTGGGCCATCTTGAAGTGGTTCCATGCTTTCCTTATCTTGGTGATGGTGATGGTCCCCCCACTAGACTTGAGATTTTAAACTGTCTCAAAAAATTGAAGAACCACAAAAGTGCTGGGATCGACGAAATCTCTAATGAGCAGTTAAAGTATGGGGCAAGTGGTCTTGTGGATAGGATGGAGAAATTGTTCTCTAAAGTTTGGAATTCAGAAGCAGTGCCTGACGACTGGTTGAAAGGCATCGTGATAATTGTACCAAAGAAGGGTGATACCTCTCATTGCTCCAATAATAGAGGGATCACTCTAAGATCTACAGCATCTAAACTGTATCAAATCATCATATTACAACGCATGAGTGACGGTTTAGAAAGTTTGCTACGAGACAATCAGTGTGGGTTTAGAAAGAACAGATCATGCATTGATCAGATTTATTCACTCCGCACTATTATACATAACTGCATTGAATATAATCTCCCCCTGTATGTAAATTTTGTGGACTTCAAGGCAGCTTTTGATTCCATCGACAGGAATTATATTGGAAAGCATTCAGTCATTATGGCCTGCCATGTAAATACATTCGAATAATACAGGCATTCTTTAATGGAACTGTTAGTGCTGTTAGACACAATGGTGAACTATCAGAATGGTTTGAAGTAAGTTCAGGCAGTGGCCAAGGAGACATTCAGGGTCCCCCACTTTTTAATGTCTGCCTCAATGTGGCTGCTGAGAGAACAGAAAGCAACAAAGTGGTGTCCCACGGAGCGGTTCTTCAAAGATCTATCAGTCCGCTTGTTGATGATATCACTGTGTTAGATACAGATTATGCAGATGACATGGCTGTACTGGATAACAGCGAGGAAGGTCTTCAAGAAACAGCTGACCTTTTGTGTATGTATGGTGCCCAGGGAGGTCTTAGAATCAATGGTAAAAAGACTGAGGCTATGGTCATTGGTAAAGCAACCTCTCAACGGCCATACACGAAAGAAGCCACAGTGAACATCACTGTTGAAGCAAGTTAGTGATTTTACGTACTTAGGTACAATTATTTCCAGCGACGGTACTATCGACCGTGAGTTGTCAGCTAGGATTCAGAAAGCTTCCGGAGCCTTCAATCAACTGAGTAATATATGGAAAAACCGCAACATCCAGTCTTATACAAAGATCAGGATTTATAAGGCAGCGGTTTTGACAATATTGTTATATGGTAGTGAGGTTTGGAACACAACCAAAAAGCAGCTACATCGCTTTGAGGTGTTCCATCAGCGTTGCTTGAGGAGAATACTTAGGATAAGATGGCTCGATCGGGTTAGAAACACTGAAGTGCTGGAGCGTGCAAAGATAAATCCAGTAGAGACGTACATAGGAGCAAACCGCCTGCGTTGGTTTGGCCATGTCACCAGAATGCCAGACACTAGGCTTCCTAAGTACCTGCTTAACTGGACCCCTGCCCATGGGAGAAGATCTAGGGGCCGTCCAAGAAAGAACTGGAGGAAATGTTTGCTGGAAGATGCTGCAGCGTTTACAGGAAACACTGACATAGACCTAGAAGGAGCGAGCGAGATGGCTAGTGACCGCAAACTTTGGAGGGAGATGATACGTCACAAACGGGAGTTCATTGGTGCAGGCCACTCGAATGATTGAGGAGACCTAATCAAGTACAAGTAAGTACAATCATAATTATACACAACTTCGTGCTAAGTTTTGCGTGAGTCTGAGCTTGTCTGACAAAGTTAGCTCCTGAGTGTGCTAGCTTTAATTTCTCACCCAGAACTGTTTACATTGGTTAATAGGAACCACCAAAAAAATCCTGGGTAAAAAAATCAAAAAACCAGCGATTTATTTATGTTTTACCAATTCTATTCATCGCACATTCCATGTGAGAAGAACGATATAAACAAGCAGGAAGGATCATCTGTGATAGTCCTTATCAGTTAAAATATAGAGAGAATGGAATGTGCGATGTATCATGGTGAATAGAATTGGTGAAACGTGAATAAATCGCTGGTTTTTTAATTTTTTTTACCCAGGATTTTTTTGTGGTTTCTTTTAACCAATGTAAACAGTTCTGGGTGAGAAATTCAAGCTAGCTCGCTCAGGGGCTAAATTGGTCAAATAAGCTCAGTTAAGCTCGCAATCACACAAAACTTGCCACAAAGGTTTAGCTACTTGTTATTAACATTCTGTGAAATTTAGAAGCAAAAATATTTATCAGAACATAAGTTATGCCACTTTTTGTTTTTAAAATAATTAGCAAGATCTCAGAGACCTGTTACAATTTTAAGAGATAAGGATGGGTAGTCTTTTATGGGCCACCCTGTATCAGTACAATGAAACTGGTGAACATTTTTAAGCATAGGTAAAATTTATGTGAAATAAAATGATATCCGAAAATCTTACTTTGTTACTCTGCAGACAGTAGATTCGTTTGAAATTTTTTGTCATTCTCGTGGCTTCTTTCATAAGGTTACTCATACCAAAACCGTACCTTCCCAGTACCCTAAAATTAACATTGAGATTAGTAAGAAATAACGCGAATATGAACCGTTTTACAAAGATACCAGATTTAGTTAAAACATTCTAAACTATTCAGGCCAACAACAGCATGTGTCCTACAGTTATTCAGTATGATCTGATAAACGGAGATCTAAGATAATAACTTTAAAATTACTTGAATTTATCCTTGAAAGCGGTGCCAGTAAGTGTCAAAACATACTCTTTTCCATCATAAAACCCAGTCCCACCTGTACCATCTAACTTCTCCGCCTTCAGTCCTGAGGAATCATTGGATTGTTGTAACATGGTCAGCTGGTAATCAATCAAACATGACGAGCATTCAGTATTTAAAGTAGAGTAGGAAAAGAGATTTTACTACCGATGGTTTTGTACAAATTGATTAAAATTACTGCCAGATATCCACATTTTCTGAGTACATATCTTGACATAACAACATGCTTACACTCTTGTTAACGTAATGCGTTTTCCTATTTTCTGTATTCGTTTCGAACACAAAAGAACCCTTACCAACTTTTTCAGTGAGAGCTTTAGCGTAGACATTGTCAGAGTGAATAATGGAATTTCCGCTGTCGTAAGATTTTCCTCCAATCTTCATTTCCTGCAATCTTCCTCCCACTTCCTCTCTTTCGAATATCTGCCGTGTTTTTATTTAATACATAAGTTCTAAACAAGTATTAAGTAGTAACGACCTGCAGCTTTAAGAAAGAAAATGCCTTGCTTTTGATATAAAATACTCGTTCTGGCAAATGTTATCGAAGAAGTTGGAGAAATGTTTCTCGTCCCGGCCTAAGAAACTGCCTTCAGAAACTAACCTTAATCTCAGCTTTATCTCCGAGTAGGTGTTTGATAAAGAAGGCGCTGGTAGTACCACCAATTCCACCACCCACTATTGCTATCTTGTGTGATGTCACCACACTGTTTCTGATAACAAGTGCTAGGAACAGAGCGTTCTGGAAGAGTGACATGTTCCTTTAAAGAAGGGTTTAGTGTTAGAGATATATTGTTAGAATACGTCGTTACATGTTAGGGGCAGGTGACATGTGACATGACAATTTCTAAGTATCAATCATGGATTCTATGCTAATATGAATTAAAATATCAAATGATAACCTGTTCAGTTTTAGAAAAATCAAAGATGAATTCTAATCATTGTATTATAATAACATTATCAAAACACAGGATAAAAAGTTCCATAATTCGAAGGCATAAATCTTCACACGATCAAACATAAGCTAAATTAACCATAAAACTCGAAAGCACACAGACCCTGCAAGCGGCACAACTTTATAACTTCACAGGATACGAAATCTACATTTCCTAAAGCGGGGGAGGGCGAGGGGGAGAAAACTTTATTGATTTTGCAACGGATCGGGATTCTAGGATGAAAGGAAATCAGAACTATCCATTTTATAAGTATTCATTAGGAATAATTTCGATAGTAATCGACTACTAATTAAATTAAACCAATAACTCTACTCAGCAAGAATATCAAACTTACTTATATACTTTAAAGCTGTAACTGAAAAAAAAATGAATCTGACAATAAATATTTATTATTTGAACTAAACGGAATAGAAAAAAAACATCAAGGTTCAAAACTCAGAAAAGGCATCATCTGTTTAACTTGATTTTATGTTTTTGTACTATATATTTAAAAGTTTATAAACTTTTAACGTTTAAACACACACTCTCTGTTGCAAATCAAACTGTACTGTTTAGGAGGCATCTGCTTTCTCAGCTGGAACCTCTTCTGCTGCTGCTTCCTCCTCCACTGGAACTTTCAGAGCTGCTGCTTTCGCAATAATACTGCGGTTATCTATGATACCAGCAGCGTCATCAAATATAGAACCAACTATTGAATCAGCCACATCTTTGATTGGTATACTCATACCTGCATATTATATATTACATATTATATTATATTGGTTTTATAAATTTATAAGTTTTTACTTTCAAATTATTAATAGTAATGATTAAATCAACTACTATGTCTATATACGAACAATTAAAATTTGTGCTCAATGATAAATATTCCAGGAATCTCTCAATGCCTAATCTTATTGTAATTAAAGTGACTTTGGTTTAATGTAACTTCCTTCGGCTTTTAAAGGTGGAAGTGAAAGTGAAACTAACCTCTGCTATAATCAGCCCACCCTAACACCCACTGAGCAGCTTTCTCTGCCATCCTACCTTCCTGCCTCTTTACTAGCAACACTGCCGGTCTGTACACTACTGACCTCTCAAACCCCATTCCTAGGATCTGGCGGAGAAATGTGTTTAGGAATAAATAAATAAACTTTAGAAATAGTGATCTTGCAAAACTACAGGACGGTGTTCCAATAAAAAAGCAGTATCTCGAACACAGATCTATACTAATAATCTCAAGATGTGTGTTTTTCTGTTCGCGTGTAATTTCCGAACAGCTTAATCAAGAAAACAGTAAGAGTTGGTTTTTTGGTATCGTGCCGAAAAAAACTCTGACCAAGCCAAATGATTAAGGTTTTTTAAATCGGCCGGTGGTAAATGGTTGAATTGATCATTTTGTGACCCAAATGTGATACTAAAGTATCTCACGTACTCTCACAATATCTCTCCCTAATTACAGCTCCCCTAATTAGTATTGCAGCGCTGGTATATATTGTATATAATGAGGCAATTTGGCAGTAGAGCTAGGAGCCACAAGATTGCCTATTAATTATTACTATTAGATACGTGTTGGGGGCTCAGAATTAAATTTACTCAAATGCGGCCGTTTCGACTGGGCGAATTCATGCTTTTGCACCGTTTATACTTTTGCAATTCAACTGCGATAGTGAGGTCCCGGCCGTAAGCACGGGTTACACTAGTATTTTCAATAAAGTACATAATAACAACAGCTAACCTTATCGTCCACCTCCCCCTTGACTTGCGTGTAGAGAAAGTAACTGTTAGCATTAGCGCCCTGACTCGACATCATGTGAAACTGTTTTACTCCTGCTGCCTTGCTCTTCTCTGCAAAACTCATCACGTAGGTCTTATCTACTTTTATAAACCCATCCTTCCCTGATTTAGCTCGTGTAGTCCCTGAAATATATGGTGGTGAGGACTGTATAGTGTATTCTCCTAAAGTTTCTTAACAGACTGTAGGCGCAGTCCTGGTAGAGATATAATTCGAATTACGAGAGGGTTTAGTCTTCATAACATCATCTCACAACAGCTACAGGTTATAATTTTTCAATCAAGATTTTTCCGTACAGACTCAAATTTAGTATATTATTATCTTTACAGGTACAAAGGTTGGTTACCTAGAGTACAGATAGCAACGTCGTGGTCATTGAACGCCTCCTCCGGAAGATTATCAAAGTCAACTATCTTGTGATCTAGCTTATCGTTCTGTATTTTGGACTCTCTTCTGCCTAGAGTGGTTACCTGTAGAGCCCAGTGTATGATACTATTTCTGATGTGGGTGAAACCTTAACTACAGAGAACTTTGATTACAGTAATCAGACTAATTAAATTCGGAGGAATTTAAAGATCAGCAGGCAGAATCTCAGAGCACTATAGAAAATAAAGGTAGTTTGAGGGGAAATGTGGGTGATTCACGACAGATAATAATAAACACCAATCTGGGCAATTCACAACGCATTAAGAAGCATTATGAAATACAACAGAAGCAGGAAGATTGAGAGGAAACAGTTTAAGACGATCGAAAATTATTACTCAAGTGATTAAGTTATCATTATTTTAATCATCAAATAATTATTTTTATTATTTTTATTATTACTATTTTGATTGAGCAAATGATAAGCTCACCTTGCTGATCCTGTCATCTTTAAGAAGGTTATCTAGCACTAATCTACCAGTTTCACCTGTAGCTCCAGCTAGTATCACTCGGAACGCCATGTCACATGTGTCACTGCTACACTGAATTATAAGGCAATTATTTATTTAATTAGTATGATTAGCAGCTAATTGGTTTGAGTATTCAATGTTCTCGATGAGCACATATTAATATTATGTTCAATTAATTTTATTGGGTAAGAGAGCCATATACTTGGTAAAGGAATCGATATAATAGTTCTTGTTGTAAAATATAAAAGTTTACAAGTGCAAAAGTAGATTTAAATTACACAATCTGGTGGTTACATGAAATAAATCAATAAATTAACTAGTGGGTCCAACAAACTAAATTTTTCTGAAAACAAATCAAGTAATAGATATAACAAGAGCTTACCTCTTCTATCTACTGAATTCTAATCAGAGAAAAACCAAATTTCACTTATTATCAGATTCGACTCTGAATAACTGTATTAGCTTATTGGTCACTATTAACTCAATTAGTTAATTAGTCGCTAATTACCTGTCCAGTGAGTTGGTCGTCACACAGGATACGTGACATCAGAACAAGAACTGTGAACAGCAACTCTAACCTCATTCTTAAAATCACTAGTGGGAAGAGCTTTAAAAACTTTGAAACCTAAATGAACATTGAACCAGTAACCAATAATGAAATCATGCTCATCAGCAAATTTATGGTTTACAGTTAGCTATATTTCTAATTAACAGAAACTGTGACAATCAAAAAAAATATAGAGGGTCGACGTAACAAATTGCAACATTATATACAGAATGAATAAATTGCACTAATGATTTGTTTACAAAACTGTGCATAAATCCTAGTAGTGAAGGGAGTATTTTATAAACTTTATAAACCAAATTCAAGTAACACTTACATATTCATTTCCCAGCTGCCTAATTCATAAATTACTACACTAATTAAAATCCTAGCAATGTCTTATCTCAGAAAAGAGCCTTTATCTTATCCATAATATCTTTATAACAAACCAGTTTCTCTCTCGGTTTCCCTTTCACTTTCCCTTTCTCTTTCTCCAGAGAATCAATCTCTTGCCACTGATCGAACGTTACAAACTCAACGCCTCTGTCCCTAAACATATCACAAACATCACCATTCTCATTTAAACTTCGACTATTCACTTCCAGATCCTCTAATATAGACATAGCAGTATTGGCACTGTCTGTTATTGTAGTTGCTAACACCCCATCAGATCCCCGCCGCGCCCAACCCGACGTATACAGCCCCGGAACACGTGGACCACCAGGGCACTCCAACACCCGGGACAAGTCCTCCGGAATACTGTGAGAGGTATCACAGAAAGGAACACCGGGCAGTTTTATAACTTTATACCCAATACTGGTGATGACACAGCTACAAGGTACCTCGCGTATCTCCTTAGTAGGGGTGATATCAGGTGACATCATATCACCTGATATCAGGTTCTTACGCAGCACCACACTCTTCACATGACCTGATGAGTCTGTCTTTATCTCTAGCGGAGACCAGCCGAACTGAATACAAACGCTGATATCATCAGACGAAGGGGGAGGAGAGGAGGAGTGTTTTAGTAGTAGATCTGTTAAACGTTTCTTAGGTCGTGGAATGTTGGGTAATATAGATCTAATCTGGTCGATGTTATCACTGTCAACTGATAACCTTACTCTTGATAGCTTGGTGAATTCTCTGACCTCCTTTATAGTACCTTGAAACTGCATAACCCCTCTCCTACCATACAGATTAACATTCTTGACATTCCTTTCTCTCAAACACTCCACCGCATGCCCTGATATGTCAGTCTTCTCGAGATGCGGTAGCGGAGCAGCGAGGATGCGCGCACAGTCCAGCGCCACATTACCGTGCCCGATAATGGCGACATTTTCCCCAGATAAGTTGGGTTTGAGTGAGCTGTGCTGTGGTACACCGTTAAACCACCCTACAAACTCACTGCTACTATAGCAACCAGCTGCTTCCTCTCCTGGTATTCCTAACTTGTTATCTGAAAGCGAAAGTGAAAGTGAAGAGGACCCTGCACTGGAAAAGCATGTACGCGGGTTTATTGCTTACAGAAAAAAACTTGTTTCAGTTACCTTGACAATTTAATGTTATTTCTTTAAACTTAAACCTAGAAGAAGTTCAATAAGAATGAAAATTGTACATACAATGTCTCAGAAATAGACAGTACTATACTGAAATATGAAACCAAAAATGAAAGTGAAAGTGAAATTGGAACCGAAACTGACCTGATCCAGCTCCATATGCCAACACAACCACGTGATATCTACTCAACAACTCCTCTAATCGTATATCGTACCCTACTGCAACGTTACCTAAAAACCGCACATTCGGCCGTGCTGCTATTTCTTCAAAAGTCGTGATACAATTCTTTACCTGGACAGATTATGATATCAATTAGGAACCGACCGGTCGCGGTCAATTATTTAATTTAGGGTTCTGAAATTTTTGAAATTTCTGAGCTCTGGTCAGACGACAAATAAAATACATTTTTGTTATGAAAAGCTTTGAAATTTCCGATATCAAGCACCTGATATAAGACCCCGCCACCTGAACCTAAGGACCCGGCATGTAACCTAATTACACAACATGAGATCCCCAGACACCTCATCCGGCCCCGATAACTTATTAAGTTAAACTTAAGGACCCAGCTTGTTAGTTGTTACTTTATAACTTAAAATCAAAAATTTTGAATTCTTCAGTTCATATCCAGTTTAAAACCGGACCGGGATCAGATACTGAAGCTGGATATCCGGTGGGAACCGGATTCAGCAGATTATGAGGCACTGCAGATACATAATACAGGAGAAGCTGGGTCACACTCCTTTTTTTGATATTCCAATATTAGAAACTACAAGACTTATATGACCCGCAGGAGAATGTATCTACTGAAAGACAAAATTGACTAGTAGGAATTCTTCTTTTCTGTTCCACGGAAGTCTTCACGATGCCAAAAGTTTATGTTAAGTCACTTTGTCCCCTGTACGATAAGAGACAAGATGCATCAACCTATGTGTTGAGTATGTCTAATCTCAACTTCCGAAATTCTATAACAGTGATTGTGACTCGTTCTTGGTACTGGCTAACATTAGGTTATAGCATCAGTGTTTTTCAATTAATATCATCAGCGTTTCCTTACCGTTTCGCTATTTTTGTCCCCTTATCTTGCTTTATCTTCTTTTTGCTCCTGTAACTATAATTTTGCTGAACACAACCTACAAAAATTTTGAATGCCAATTATTTTTTCGTGACCTCTTTATCCTTTTATCATATTCCTTTTTTGATAATTCAGTGGGACAATGACTAAAATTTGCTTTTCTGGATGTAGAGGTGTGGAAACAGGGACAAAAGGATTTCGCGATTATTTTGGTCAAAATTCGCGATACCGCGATTTTTTACAGACTATACATTAAAGTTTAAACTATACATAAAATTAGTCGTTAATAATGGGGAAAATCGCGATTCCGTACATGCCGCGATTTCCTTTTGTCCCTGTGTGGAAAGTATTACTATTTAATATCCTGAATGATATTCTGAGGTTCGCATACCTCTGTCATCTTGTTGTTTTAACAGTAACCTTATCGGTACACAAGGTGAAACATGAATGTATCTAACTATCAAAGCGTGACGGATGATGAAACTGCACTAATTTTTAAAGGCGCTCTTTTTGAACTTGCCCCTCTCAACATTCCTCTGTGTATCACTGTTTTCATCCAGAACAGTGTGATCTTCATCAGCTACTACAAAGACAAAGCTTTGTTTGTACCGAGCTTGTTTATGGGGATTGCTCTGGGAGACATTCTAAAAGCACAAGGAGATCTGATCCTCACAATTATCAGTATTCTGGTACATTGGGGACAGGTGGAGACGACAGTTCTCTACAAGAGCATTTACTACTACATGGTCACAGCTCTTCCCGGTTTCAACTGCGCCAAACTGTCAAATGTCATCCTTACCGTCACCCTGACACTCAAACTAAGGGATCCATTTAACGTCATCAACACGTCACGGCTACGAAAAATAGCTGCGTCTATTTGTGTGGTTGTGTTCTTGCTTCACATTGTCGACGCTGTTGTTGTCGCCTTGAGAATTGCCTCACTCCCTCTTAACAACTATCCCAGGTTGCTGAAAAACCTTGGACCCCCAGGCATTCTGGCGATATGGGGCAGCACCCCACCGCACCAAAAGTGGTTTGTTGACAGAATTTGTGCTTCTCTTGAGGTCCTTTACTACTTTGTACCTCCTGTTTTGATTATGGTTTGTATGATACTCCAGGTCAAATATCTGCGACAAACCCTTGGTGGTAACGAGGGTTCACCACACATGCCAAACACATCTCACCATGTCTCAATTACCGTCCTGATGGTTTCTGTCCTCTTCTTCATCTGTCAATCAGCACTCGGCATTTTCACGGTAGTTTGGAATACACTGGAGTTATACAAGAAGTTCGATCAGCCTGGACAGGAGGATAAAGAATACGTGGAGGAGGGCATATTAATGGGATTTGCTGAGTTTAGCTTGCCCTTGATTTATGCAGTCTTGTACCCACTAATACTGATCTGCAGGAAGCCCGATCTTAGAGAGCGATACTGCCAACTCATCTGCAGATTTCGCCACAGACAAGACCGTGACATCAACCATGAGCAGCTCGGTGAATAAGCTGACATCATGGTTTAGAACTCAGTCAGATGTAGTGTGTTTCTATTCTTACTTGGTGAACAGCTGCAATATTGAAGTTAAAACGTGACTTGTGTATTCAAATTGATAACACTGCCATTCAGCATAAGACTCCAGAGTCCAGTGATCAGCGAGAAACACTGAAATCAAGACCTTTTATAATTTGGTCCTGGTAGAAAGAACGCCTCCCCGTTAATTAAGCTGGGCATACCTTATCGGACCTTATTTGGACGGACATTACATGAACGGACATAATTATGAACGGACATTAATATGAACGCTCGAAGGCATTCAAAACCATCAAAAATCTGAATTTTTTCAATTTTTTTGACGTTTTTTAAATTTCAGCAAATGATTTTTAAATCCATTTTTTATACAGTAAGTAAGAAAAGCAGTCATTGAGCAGTAAAAATGTTAAAATATGTGTACATGATCAGTGTCTAATATCACATATCATCTTCATCAAATGGGTTTTCGTGCATGAAATAGTCCATGCTTAAAGCATCAGTGATTTCTAGCTTTATGGAAACCTTTTTTTATCAAACTACCCCGGTCCTGCATTTCAGTGTTAACTTTTACAAGCCATTCGGCGTGAAGTGGTTTTATCTTAGACAACTTAGGTTAACCTTAACATCACGTGGAGCTTTCCTAGCACTGTTTCATGACCGCCCCCGAGTAATATGAACTATAACAACGTCGGAAAATGTCCTTGGAAACACGATTTACCGTAATATCTAGAGGCTGGAACAAGTTTGTCATGTTGGCGGGGACTAGTTCATGAACTATGTTGTTGAGTGCCATAATTTCGTTGACTTTTTTCCGCCAAGTGACCCTTGAAAATATCATATACTAGTAGAGTTTTCTGTGCCTCCGGCAGACCAAGGAGAACCTTTCCATCGTTAACTTACGGCACAATAAAGTTCTCAAAGTTGTCATATTCTGGACAAAAAGTTCGAAATGAAAAAATTTTTGAAAAAATTTCAACGGACTTTAACTTGGACGGACATTAATTGAACGGACTTTATTTGAACGGACATTAAGATGAACGCTAGGGCTTCCACCGTTCAAGTAATGTCCGTCCAAATAAGGTCCGATAAGGTACATCTAAAATTTTTCGTATCAAGCTATTTTAAAGCGGGTATTAAGTTGATATTTTACCCAGAAATAATGCATTAGAATTTCACTATTTATCTAGAGACATCTCATTTTGCCCTGATATCCAAACTTAAAGACCCGGTATGTTTCTTGTTAACCTTAACTCAAAATTTTAATGGCTATACACATTTTCTGAAACATTTTGAAATTTCCGGTTTATATCCTGCTAAGGTTGAAAAATCATTGGCTCAAGTTACATACGTATTATAATATAATATGTAAATATACAAGGTACCAACATGTTCCAATTTTTAAAGGTTTTTCAAACCTGTAAGGCTGTATAATCAACTTTTGCAACTTACAAATAACAAAGTTTCAACAATTTCAAAACATTTCTGTCCTATTTCTAAATACATAAAAGTTGAGCATCCTAGAACATTCTACACATACCTCCGGATGATCTGGCGCAACCCCGAACCTAACCAACCCGAACGGAACAGCAGACTTCTCGAATATATCAACAGTGAACTGGTGCGAGGAGGACTTTAGTATCTCCTGTGTCGTGTAGAACCCAGCAGGTCCGCTCCCCACTACAGCTACCTGGGGAGGGGTACTGTCACGTGACGTCATAACATTTTGTGTGACGTCATAACACGTGGTGCGACGTCATAACACGTGGTGCGTCGTCACGTGACGTCATGCAAGTAACAGTTAATTTGTTTATGATAGTGACACTTAAAGTGAAACTGAACTCCAAAGTGATGTAAAATATCAATTAAAAGCGAATGTGAAAGTTAGCTCCTACCTTGTAAGAGGAGAGAAGTCTGACAAATCTGGAGGAAGTTTTTTGTGCAAGTCTACATGTGAACATTCCTACAAGATTGAGAACATTAGTAAATTAATTAATAAGATAATGATATGATATAAAATTATTAACATTTACATATTGGCATATTTGAAATAATTATTGGTCAAGAAATAAGACAACGTTAATTTTGCGGAACTAATTCTGAAATTAACATTATATAACACAACTCAGCCGTAATAATCAAAAGCGAAATTCAATCAAATACATATACATTATACATATACAAGCAAGTACAAGCAAGTACAAGCAATACAAACAAGTCAGAATTTTACACAGAAGAACTGCACAGGCCAGCTGTGGATTCCAAAATAAACAAATTCCTTACTTAAACACATTTTACTAATTCGATCATGTTCGGACAACGGACAATATCCTTTCCAAAGCCGGGGCGATGTTACTGATATAAGGCTAAATTATAAGGAATAAACTATTGGATAAATTTTTATGTTACAATAAATTCTATTAAACAGAAACACCAAATCCTGTACAAAAAATGTATAATTTATAATTATCTAATCAATTATTGTATAATTACCTAAAAGACACTGAACACGAAAATAAGAAACTTCAATTAAATAAAACAACAAAAAAACTTTCGCTTTTAAAAGTCCAATAGCTGTTGCTTCCAAGAGCTTGTAAGTTAGCTTTAACTAATAGATCAATTAAGAAACTAACTCACTAATAAACAAGTTCCAAGCCATAACCAGTCCTCATAATTTCCGTGACTGTCGTCCAGTTCCAGTGCCTCATAAGGGTTAGGGTTAGAGTCAGGAGTTAGAGTTTGGGTTCGAGCTAGGTTTAAGGTTAGGCTAAGGTTAGGGTTAAGATAAGAGCTCTAGGACAGGACGACGTTTTTCAGTGGACTATTCGGACTTTAAAGCGGAACTTCATCTCGGGAGACGGAAAAACGTTTCAAGTTCGCCACATTACACCACACCAGTGACCACGTGACATTGCATCAAACCACGTGACATCACTCGGGGGTGCTGGCTGTTTGCTCGTCCCCGCCCTCTACTCTGTCTTGTTGTATCAGAATATCTTCCCTCCTTAAAAAAAAGAAGATAACTATTTGACTTACAATCGTGGCATATTATAAAAATTTAATTCTACTTCCTCACTGTTACTTATCGCAAATAAGCCTAGAGATATAACAAGTTTTGAAAAAAAAACTGGAATATTATATCATTAATCATGATTATCAAAATTGGATATCACAAATTATCGCTAGATTATCACTAAATTCACTAATTCAGTGAAACTCACTCTTTAAGCTCAGTGAGGACCTCTCCCAAGAAGACGTCCAACAGAGTGTAAACCAGTTGTTTGTTCAGCTCTTTGTTCTGAAGAGCATCGTAGATGGTCAACAGGGCGTCATCCATACGTTTCACGCCCAGCAACTTCTTGATGGGCTCTGAGGGGAGGTCGTGAGTAAGACAATTAAAATTAGTTTAAGAATGTATCCGTCTAACAGTTGAACGCTGTCATAACCTTTATTAGTTTTAAACAAATCTGCTGAATAGTGATTTTGTAGAAAAATGTCAGCAATCACGTGATCTACTTCCACATCACTTACTGGGAATTTTGTGGACCAGCTCGGATCTCGCTAAATCAGCCCGTTCTTTAATCTCATCTGTTCCTCTTACTTCTTCGTCAAAGAACAAAACATCTGAAACAGTTTCAGTTATTTGGAAATGGCTCACAAACTTCTCCATATCATGAATTACAGCTATTATATACTATAGCTGCTATAGTACATGGACACGTTCATTGAAGTTTGAGGATATTGGTAAATATTAGTGACCCTACTGAACGGCACGATGATGTAAAATGTGTCACACTATGAAACTATATAAACCCTCTTACCCTAAGATAATCGTTTCATCCTCTAGATAAACTTTGTCGCATAACGATATCTATATCAGACGATAAGATATCGCTTAAATGCGGCCGGCAGTGAGTTGTAAACTTTATCACACTATAAAAACGTGACGGAGTTTATATGGACCCCTTGTTGCCGTGTTTGACCAAATTTTCGAATTTCCAATTCATAGAATAGCTGTATATGACTATTATCTACATATTTAGCGACTTTTTTCCTTAAATGGTAGCTCCATGTAAACTGACAAGAAATGCCGAACAGTCTAGCATTATTTTGTGAGCTGAATGTGTTTGGAATTGTTCACATATTTCATTGTTATAGGCAAATACAAATACAGAAGGCAGAAATAGGTAAATTTAGTCACATAAATTTGTATGATATCTCAACATGTGTGAAATTGAGTAAATATTAGTATACCAACTTAAACACCCTATATTACGTACTATGGGTCAATTAACAATATTTCAACCATACGCCGGTCATATAAATTATTATATGGCAGTGATAATGTGATATGTTAACATTGGATAAATTTCAACACCTGAACAGGGTAAAAATTTGTAAATTTCGTCACAAAAAAAAATAATAACTTTATTTGCTCCGTGTTGGCAAAATAACTAATTTATCGACATAGTGATGGTGATAAAGTAACATTATATACTAATTGAGGTATGATTCTTCAAAATAGGGGCAAGAAATGTAAATTTCGTCACATCAGCCATTGCATTAGTTAGATAGATTTTCTTTCATATCAACTGCCCTTATTATAGTTGGAATGGATTTATACAGGAAATATAGAAACCCATGCCCATTTTTCATCACATTGAAATTATACTGTTGGGGCAGGAAAAGTAAATTTCGTCACATTTCGGTAAATTAGTGATATCAAACTCAGCATTGTTAAACTTGAGTTCTGATTTGCTGAAAAATAACCTACCAATAATTCCTGGAAGAATATTGAATTCTAATCGGGGTATGGTTCTTCAAAATAGGGTCAAGAAATGTAAATTTCGTCACATACGTCATTGTAAAATTTAGATACACTTTCTTTCACATCAACAGTCCTAATTATAGTTTGAAATGATTAATTCAGAGATAAGGAAATATAGAAACCCATGCCCATTTTTCATCACATTGAAATTATACTGTTGGGGCAGGAAAAGTGAATTTCGTCACATTTCGGTAACTTAGTAAAATTAAACTCAGAATTGTTAAACTTGAGTTCTGATTTGCTGAATAATAACCTACTAATAATTCCTGGAAGAATATTGAATTCTAATCGAGGCATGTTTCTTCAAAATAAGTTCAAAAAAATGTAAATTTCGTCACATCAGCCATTGCATTAGTTAGATAGATTTTCTTTCATATCAACTGCCCTTATTATTATTGTGACAATTTTTACATCAACTGCCCTATACTTGAATCAGTTCTATCCGTGCATCGTCCTTATATACAGTTTTCCCGCCTTCCAAACCAAAATCAGATATAAATGATTTCGGCAATTTACCCAAAATTTTAAATTCCATATAATGTGACAGAATTTACATCATTTCCCAATAAGTGCATGTATGTGCTAACTTTTCAAAACAACATATTTTAGGGCTATGATTGGTAGAAGAACCATCAAATAATGTGTTGAAAGGGTTTTGAGGACACCTCACAGTAGAAAAGAGGTATCGTATTCTGAGTGTGACAAAGTTTACGAAATATTGCCTTAAAACCGTTCGATCCCTGCCCTTTAGCCAAATGTTGTATCACAATTGTTAGAATGACCTAATCTACTATATTTTAAACCAAAAAAATGCTAATTGGGCAGCTATGGTTAACACAGTCACAAAAATGTGACATTTTTTACATTATAGTGCCTAAAAACAATAAATTTTATTTCTGAGCCGTGTATATGGAAGTATGGGTCACGTGGCTAATGTCCAGAACTTCTGAACACGTTATTTTTTTTGGTTTACCAATATCCTTAAACTTCAACATGAACGTGTCCATTTACGATTTCGTATCATTTTGTGACGATGTTTAGGGGGGGGTCCACGTTAAAAAAAGTTAAAAAAGTTAAAGTAATTAATGTTAAATTTCAAAATTCAGGCTTAGAAAGTTTAACTTTTTTAACATAAATTCAAATTTGGGTTGAAATTGCAATGGAGTGAATATTCTAGACTAGTTTACTTTTAGGTCATGCGTTGGTATTTTTGTTCATTACCTTACAAGACATTTTTATAACGTACGAAATGCGACGGTTTTCCCGAAATTTCGCCATATTTTCGGACCGCCAAAATTTCGGTCGTCGTAATAGAATCCGTCGCATTATTTTTAGCTTATTCCAATAATTGTGGCTTCATCGATTCATTTTGTTCTTGAAAAGTTAGTGATATGATGGTGGGACAAATAAACACAATATTCCATGATGAATTTAATGTCAAGTAATACGTTTTAAATTTACAATAAATTACATTTATGTGCTAACATAAACGTCTTATAAGAGACTAAGTCAAGATAAACAATTTAATACCAAACTCAATAAGTGAAACTGAAAGAGTCGAGCCGGACCCCTTAGAGGAAGATGAAGAAATCGATTTATAAGTTTCATTTTGTTTCAACATGATTTAACCGATTTTTAGAAAAGTTTGAATTTCCTTTAGCTTTGTGTCAGAAAACAAAATGATGAAAAATACCCTTATTTTCTGTGACGTCCGAAATGTGACGGTTTTTGTTCAATTTCGCCATATTTTCGGACCGCCAAAATTTCGGTCGTCGCAAATTGGTCCGCCACAAAAATGTCTTGTAAGGTAGTCATTACATGTAGGAATATAGGAATGCCCATGACAAGAGTAAAACAGTCATATATACAGTCTTAATACTTTCAACACTACTATATAACAAATAATTTGAGGAAACGATGTAACAGAGTCGATATATTTTAATGTTGCCATGGGGTGGCAAGTCCCCATACATCGTGGTCCGTTAGTTTCATTGCGTCCTAATATAACATAGGTACAACCGATAAATAATTGATACATTTGATCATTAAACTGATTAAATGTTAAAAACAATTGAAATTCAAAACTACCGAGCTGGGTAAAATAAAACCTTTCAATTATCGAGAGAATAAAATGAAAATATCTGCAAAAGTAATTTAATAAATTAGCTGGATAATATTAATTTAGCTGTATAATATTAAATAAATGGAACATTGAAACTTATTCAGAAATATATAAATTTATTTATGTACCATTGTCCATTATAAAAGTATCAATACAATTTGTGTTTCCTGACGAGGAGGGCCAGGGGATGTTATTTTCGTGGATTCTAACATTCTCCCTTCACGATATTAGCTACTCCTCTAATAAGGATCCGTTTGGCTGCATGCAGGATAGTCAGCCGATAACATTTGTCAAATATTTCCAACTTGTCCAGGTCACTTTCCTGAACACACTGGAAATTACTGGGTGATCCAAATCCCGCCTCTTCCAACTGTTCCGTGTAACATTCCAGACCATATCGTGACAGCCACCCTCCTAATGAGTATTGGTCGGGCTGCGAGCCATTTCCTTGGGTCCCGACTGAATTCTGACTGTAATGTTCATCCCCCGAATACTCTGCCCACTCCTTCCCAGTTTCTGACGTCCCGTTATACTTGGCATCAATAGCATTCGCTACTACCTGTAATCTGTCCCGCAATTCCAACCCATTGACCACTACTGTGTACTTGTGGTTGGCCGACATGCTCTTTCCTATTATATGAATGATTATATTATTTGGTCTTCCAATGGTTGTGTGAAGGTTAGGTGGCCCAAAGTGTCACTGCTGGATAGAAACCCTGTGCTGCCGTGAGGTTGTCAGAACTTTGAAAAGGGGTATCCCTGTGGTGCCCCCTTCCAGTTAATCATCAGTCAACATGTTGATAGCCATCCCACATCAAGTCCTCCCCTGCTACCTCCACGTGGTGAAGACTGGAAACTGGGCTGTGTCCAGGCTAAATACAGGAAGGGCGACGGGAAACAATGAGTCCCGAGGAGCTCAATCACAAAACGTCATTGACTCCTAAACTCTTGGCTCACAAGGGGCTCGGAGACTCATAAATCTTTACTGTGGATTGCACAGTAGTTAAAGAGGTGTAGGCTGTTACCCTCCAAACCTATTCTACTACGACCCAGTCAGACTGGACCACGCTCTGTTAGATAGGATACAGCTCCCTGTGCCAGGGTATTGGGTAACCGGTAGTCAGAGGGAGAGTTAGCCCTCGTCAAAGCGGAAATTTCTGTTTCACGCTCTAACTCCCTTACGCTTTAGGTCATAAGCTTAATGTCCTGCATGGAGCAGGTGAAGATCGAGTAGAGTAAAGTTGAGTGCTAGTGATACAGCCTGATAAACGTTATGTTCATGTGGTTAACGTTTACATGTTCGAGTTGGTAAAATGTTCCTGCGGTTTTCCCCAATGTTCCGGTGGCGTGGCATTGGGATTAGTGACCATTTGTCACAGTGAAGGGGACTTCACTGGGTCACTTAGCCTTTTGAAAAACAGATATGGTTACAACCAAAAGCACTAGGGTTCAAGCCCCTACCAGGCCTATCGAGGATCAGTACAGTTATGACTCGGTTGTCTTAAACCCAAATAGTGGACGGGCAGCTGATGATGTGTTTATGAATCCTAGAAAGCCAACAGAAAACATCAAAAAACAAAAAAATAGTGGAGGAGTAGTTAGTTGTACAACGAAGAGTATCATTGGGACTCTTAATGTCCGTACTGTGAGGGAGTTTTCTAAACGGCTTGAAATGGTTATTCTTTTCTTGCGCAGTCAGATATCTGTCCTTGCAATACAAGAACACCGAGTTGTGCATGATGAAGAAGTCAAGATAGAGAGGCACAAGAAGGGAGTCCACCTAATAACAACTTCAGCATGGAGAAACAGAGCACAAGCGTCTACAGGAGGAGTGGGATTCCTGCTGACTAAACAAGCCTTTAATGCAGTTAGTCTTATCAAGACCTATAGTAAGCGCTGCATGCTTGTGTCGTTGGACGGAAACCCAAGAATAACCATAATCTCTGTGTATAGTCCAACGGAATCCGCAACTGTCGAAGAAGCCGAAGAGTTTCACGACTGCTTGAGAGCAGCAGTAAGGGAGGTCCCCTCTCATCATCTAATACTTGTAATAGGAGATCTTAATGCTCACCTCAGTAAGTTGAATGGTGAAGATACGGGATGGTACTGGCATCAAGTGACCAATCGTAATGGTCATCTGCTCAGGGATACACTGCTGGAGGGAGAGTTAGAGGCGACGAATCATCGTTTTCAGAAGAGTCCTGGTAAGCAGTGGACTCACCTCTCAGATGAAGTACTAACTAGGAGCTAGATTGACTATGTCCTGGTACGGAAGAAGTGGATGAGCTCAATAAAGAACACCGAGCCATGCAACTCTTTCAATTCCCTGGGCTCTGACCATCGGGCAGTACTCTCAACTGTAAAGCTCAGTCTACGAAAGAGCATAAGTCCACCACGGGTCACATGCTACGACTTCAGTCGTCTCAAAACTGATCAAGAGTTACAGATCAAGTATGGAGTTGAAGTTAGAAATAGGTATAGTGCACTCTTGAGTGAGGAGCAACTAGATCTAGGTCCTACTAGTGACGTCACCACTAAGTATGGAAAGTTTATTGAAGCAGTGAAGTATGCAAATAGGAAGCATCTTCCGCATAAACCTAAGAAGCGGTATGACGATCCTGCCAACGACCCACGAGTAGAGGAAGCCAGAAGCAAATTGTTTGCTGCCAAGGAGACCTACCATCTGGATCCTTGTGAAGACAACAGACAGACAGTTGCCGAGGAGAAAGACACTCTCTCTGCATGCTACCGTACTGTGGAGGAAGAGCTGCTTAAACAGAAAATAAGAAAAGCTGAAAACGCAGCCGGTAGATGCAAGAACAAAGAGAGCTGGAATCTTGTTAATGAGGTCAGTGGGAGAAAGAAGAAGCCATGTGGTCTTGTAGAAGGAGGTAGTAGAGAGGATAGATTGAGAGCCTGGAAAGACCACGTTACCAAGCTACTTGGACAACCTCCAGTAGTTCCAAACGAAGAAGTGGACATACCAGTCGTACATCCACCACAAAACATCAGTGTGGATAAGTTCACCAAGACCGAACTGGAGGAGGCTACGAAATCGATTAAAGAAGGTAAGGCATTTGGAGAGGATGGAGTTGCCCCTGAAGTACTGAAGAGGGTAGATGTTGATGATTTGATCCTTGACTTCTGCAATAAAGCACTAGTTGATGGCGATGTTCCTGACCAATGGAAGCACCTAAACATCGTGCCTGTTCCAAAGAAAAGGAATTTGACCAAAGTAGATAACTATAGAGGTATTGCACTGACATCTATAGTGAGTAAGACTCTCAATAAGATGATACTGAACAGGATCACACCTGCCATGGAAGACATCTTAAGGATCAATCAGAACGGATTCAGAGAGAGTAGGTCAACAACTAGTCATATTCTTGGCCTAAGAAGGGTATTTGAGGGAGCCCGGGATAAAGATCTGACCGCGGTAATGCTCTTCATTGATTTCAAGAAGGCATTCGACAGCGGACACCGTGGACTCCTCATGAAGATCCTCCTGGCATATGGAATTCCCAAGGAGATTGTAGGCTTGATACAAAGAATGTATGCAGATACATTTGCTCGTGTGATTACCGAGGATGGTCTGAGTGAAGCATTCTTCATTCTAGCAGGAGTGATGCAGGGAGACACTTTGGCGCCCTACCTATTCATAATCGTAATTGGCTACATTATGAGGGTGTCCCTAGAGGGTAGGGACTTTGGGTTTACTCTACACCCTAGAAGAAGCCGTCGCTATCCGGCAGTCAAGGTCACTGATGCGGACTTTGCTGACGACCTTGCTCTTATAACAGATAGTGTTGCAGCCAACTCAGTTGACTAACGCCAAGGTGTATGGACACCTCATCAGAGCATCTGATAAGATAGCTGCACGGAGGATGAGACTCGCAGGTCATTTAGCCAGACATGAAGAACTATTGAGTCATCAACTTCTCTTCTGGGAACCCCTTCAAGGACATCGTCGAAGGGGAAGACCACATCTCACATACATTGACATCCTTCGGAAGGACACGGGGCTTGACGACAGCAAAGAGATTAACAAACTCATGCTGGATAGACAGATTTGGAAGAAGACTATTTCTGTTCGGACGCTGAAGCCGCCCTAAGTCGAAGTAAGTCGAAGTATATTAGTAAATTATACAATTATGTGTATATATAGATACAAGGTGTTTTTTTTTGTAAAGTTATCAAATCAGTTACAACTACAGAAAACAATTGCAAGAGCGAGGTACTACTAGTACTAAAGGTCAACACTCATAATTGAGTTTAATTTGGGTAATTATGTTAAAATTTGAACCGATTAGTCAGCCAAAATCTAATTTTTAATTTATGTTAAAAAAGTTAAAAAAGTTAAAGTAATTAATGTTAAATTCCAAAATCTCGATCTTAGAATTTAACTTTTTTAACGTGGACCCCCCCCTGTTTACATCAACTGCCCTATACTTCAATCAACTGTATCCGTGTATCGTCCTCATATAGAGTTTTCCCGCCTTCCAAACCAAAATCAGATATAAATGATTTCGGAAATTCACCCAGAATTTCAAATTCCATATAATGTGACAGAATTTACATCATTTCCCAATAGCCAAGTGCATGTATTTGTTAATTTTCCAAAACAACATATTTTAGGGCTATGATTGGCAGAAGAACTATCAAATAATGAGTTGAAAGGGTTTTGAGGACACCTCACAGTAGAAAAGAGGTCCCGTATTCTGAGTGTGACAAAGTTTACGAAATGTTGCCTTAAAGCCGTTCGATCACTGCCCTTTAGGCCTACATTGTATCATAATTGTTAGATTGACCTAATCTACTATATTTTAGACCAAAAAATGCTAATTGGGCAGCTATGGTAAACAATGTCACAAAAATGTGACATTTTTTACATAATAGTGCCTAAAAGCAATACATTTTATTTTTGAGCAGTGCATATGGGAGTATGGGTCACGTGGCTAATGTTCAGAACTTATGAACACGCTAGATTAATAATTGTTAAAATTAAACCACTATCGTCAAAAACGCTGTTTTAGAAATTTACCAATTTCCTCAAACTTCAATGAACGTGTCCACATACTACATACAAACAGTCATCTGATTGTGCATTTTTATAACATTGCAAACAATATGATATACATTTATTATAACTGAATGTCACCTCTTGCCAGCTCAATGATCTCCACAACCTCTTTTTCCTGGAGCACCAAGTTTATCTTGAAGTTGATGAAGTTGATTACAAAATGGTCCAAAGTGTTCTTTATGACCAGCATTACGGAACAAAGAGCATGTATTAGTAAACCTGGCAGGTCACCTGAACATGTGAGTTATTGATTAATTAATTAAGTAATCATGCTTCATCTATATATTTTCGTCGATCGGATTATAAGTTAACGATGGAAATGCTGCACCGATCTAAAAAGAAAAGTTAAACAAATTATGAAGAATTAAACTTTATGGTTCATTTCACAATTTAGATGTCTTCATTCCTCACACTTATTACAACAATGAAATCTGGATGAAATATTGAATGAAAAACAGAACGTAACACTGAATGTAACACTGAATGTTACATTGAATGTTACACTAGAAAACACACGCACCCAACAGTAGAGCAGCGTAGAGGACACACTCAGTGACTCCGGTTAACTGCATGAATATTGTACTGTCGTGGGTATGTCGCTTATTCAACTCCACTTTCACTTTACTCTGAGAGAGATTCGGATTGATTTAGCCTAGTCTGCGGATTGAAGTGCAGTAATTTTCAATAAACATGGCAAGCAGCGATTATTAATTTCTCCAGCTCTAAATTTTCTAACCTGCATTTCTTTAGAATGCAGTAGAGCAGCATTAGCGGTTTGAGATGGTGTTCTCTTCAAGGTGGCGTTCTTTCTGGGCATAGTTGGGGTAGACATGGGTGTGGAGGGGTTACTTCCGACTTCACTACCTGGGATTACAAAATGTGTTTAGTAGATGCATTTCAGTGATAGTATGGGACAAGGGTAGAAACACTTGACACTGTTGGTTAGATGGGAAATCTAAGTACCATCTTTAACATGTTTAACTTTCTAATGCTACAAATAAACAAAACGCGCGGCGCGCGCGGATCGATCGACAGGAGTGATATTTTGAAATTAAAGCAATGATTCTTCTGCGCATAAGAATGTCTGCGCGCGCTACGTTAAAATACCCTACCCGGATAATTTGCCACTTGCGCGCATACAGTCGCCATATGTGCCGCAATATTCTAAACTGACTAGGTGTGTGAGGAAAAGAGGGGGGAAACTTACTTAATTTAAGTTATAAATAAAACTTACTGCCCGTGTGAGAGTTTCCGCCGTAACCAGGGGTGACAGATTTGCAAACAGATTTAAGAAAAGGGTACAAGTACAGGCTCTTCTCCTTCGGTCTCACACCACTCATCATTTTGCCTGTTGTAGAAATTGAGTTTCACTGGTCGACTTTTGAGTTTTGTTGGATAAAAATAGCAAAGATTAATCTTTTTTTTTTTTTCTTTTTTTTTTTTTTTTCTTTTTTTTTTTAATATGCAACCTACTAAAACCAATGGAGCCCTCCTCGGGTCATTCCTCTCGCATTTGCGAAAGTCGTCCTGAAGGTGTAAAAGGAGGACAGGATTTGTTCCCGCCAAGCTCTTACATCGCTAATTGTCGACCATCGGCCTTCACTGAAGGTAAGTTTTTTTAGAGTGGAGGCCGACAGTCAGCATGGGATGCAGGGCCAAGCGGGAAACAACGTCAAGGCCCCCTTCCACTTGGGCCATGTTGGTTTTGGCAGATACTGTGGTAATAAAATATGAAGTGAATGAGTGAAATGAAGTGAGTGAAAAGGGTTTAAGAGAGGAGGCTGGAGGAGCCTGTAAGGAATTTAGGAAAGGAAGGAAGCAGGGCATGTACTACAAAAAAACAGCTACTAGTAGTACTGCAAGATTGTAACAATAACCGATAAAAATTAAATAACATAGACAGCAATAAAAATGGAGTGGACATATTGCCCTAATCGGCCAAGATCGACACAATAGAACTTTTGTGACCTATTTTATCTCCTGTAAGTGATAGCTTAAGAAGTTTGATATACCCCTGCCAGATCGGCAAGTCTCCTGCCTGAAATTTTTTGCTAATGTACCATTTGGCAACGATATTAAAATAATTTATAATTTGTGAAGTGTGATTACAGACTATAAAATTAATTTTAGTGGGATCTTCGTAATTACTATCGATTTTCCTTTTAATAAAGTCTTCAAGTATTGTGATGAAGCTATTTGTGTGAATACAATGGAGGTAAATGTGAGGAATTGTTTCTAAGTATGTGTTACACAGGCTACACATGGGAGTATCTGTAACAATTTTCATCTTATGTCTCATGTATCTACACGTTGTGATCCTCATTAAGAGTTTGTATTGAAATTGAATCAACTTAAAGTTTTTAGATACTAAGAAAAACAGGTTGCTTAGAACGACTGCCCAATCGATGGAATGGCTGTTCAAGTCAACAACCCATTGACGTAAAGGAGACAGCTCGTTTGGACAAATAGAATCGTACATTTTATCCCGAATTTTGCTTCCCTTCACCTGCCCAGTTGCAGAATGTAAAAATCGAAGTTTTATATTCGGGTCAACAAATTCGATATTCCTTGAGTTAATCGTGGGACAGTTATATCTCCGTATCCCCATGATAATGTTACAGTAATCAATTTTGGAAATCGTATTCGGAGACAGCTCCCACTTGTTCATGAACATATCGTAGTTAAGGACTGTACTATGATCTATAGAAAGGAAATCTGAGATGTAAAATATTCCCTTATCAATAAGATGATTGTTCCAAAGTTTGGACCCGATGTCAGTTATTGCTGGGTTGGACCACACACAGTGATTAAAGATTAATCTTTAAAATGAAAACTCATTTGGTTGGCATTGAGATGAAATAGTGAAAATGTACTTTTAAAAATGTTCAACATAAATTTAACATTTGGGAAATTACCCGCGAATTCCCCTGCAGAACCAATAGCCTGTTTAGGCATGCTTATAAAGGCTATCTTATTGAAATCATCACAAGAAGGACTCAGGAATTTAGCGATAAGTTCACTGTGTCTTATGTAGTCCATTCTCAGTAACTTTTGAATGTATATTCCCAGTTCTTGTCGCCGGTACATTATAAACTCGTTGTTCAGTGCGTTCATAGACTTTCTTTGTGGTAATTGTAAACCTGGGATATAAAAGTTTATCTAGGATCATTTTGATACGTCACGTGATACAGTATTATTATGACTAATTTGAACGATCGTTTTGAAATTAACAGTATCTGTGGTTCGAACCTCCCAAAGATCCGTGGAATTTTCTGAGACGTTTGTGTAACATGACAAACTCGCTAAACCTCCGTTTGACTGTCAAATGCTCGAAACCACCTCTGAGATATTGATACTTTATTTTCATCGGATAATTTTGCAAATCGAAATGAAACTGGGGAAGATTCATCGTTATTTAATTTACTTAAGTATTGTCTGAGATACGACATGAACTTACATTAAAGTCACTTAATTTTCAAAAGCAGTTTAAAATTTTAATGTAAAAATCTTATCGAAACTTACGAAAGTTTCTTAACATCAGTTTTAACATCGATAACATAAGCAACATATTGTCTGAGCCATTCCCCCAACAGTTCAGTATTGTTAATGCTGATGCTCCATTTGGAGAGATCTATACTCGACTGGGCGTTGTAATCAATCTGCTCTACGTCTAAAAGGGAAAGGGAAAGTGAAAGTGTGAAAATGAAAGTGAAAGTTAAATGACCAATCAACCTTCTCCACAAGGTAAATGGGGGAATAGTTAAAACCCGAATCAGTCTATCTTTGAACAAAAGAGTAACCAATAATTTCAATTCCCAGTTAATAAAATGGATGTGCATTGTGCCCCTACCCTCAGTGTCCACTCCAAGCAGTGCACTGCCAGTAGACGTAGTTATCTGAGCCAACTGCGCTGCGGATAAAGCGCTATCATCCAGCATTTCTAACATGGGATCCATAGGGTTGTTAGAGAGTTTGTCTTTAAGGGTGCTGAACATTGCACCTATACCACCTACACTTTGCTTTCTCATCTGGAATGATTCGTGTTATGTAGAGAAAGTGAAAGTGAAAGTAATTTAAGAGCAAGTGGATGTGTTGAACGTAGCAACTTTGAAGTCTCTACATATCCTGCACTCAGCTTTTTCAACTGACAGGGAATGGTTTTGCATTACATCAAGTGAAAGTTAAGTTCACACACGAAGTGTCTAGAGACCAAATAGGGTTGACATTATCATATAACACTTCACTGATTCTTATAAAACTCTCCACATAACATAAGATCCTATTATTATATGATACCAATAATAGTCTACACTCTCTACGACATCTACAGCTACTGACTTAATAAGATAATTCCAGCCAAAGTAAGAACAGCAAGTCAGAGCAAGTTGTGGCAAGACACTGGGACACTAACTCAAATACAATTGAAATGAGGGAGAGAAAAAGCAGAAATCTATGGAATGCTGCACCATCATCACGCTAGCTTACCTGATCCGACCAACTATCTGGGACACACAAATGCTCCTGCATTGTTGCAGAAAAGTTACGTTGCCGTATGATATGATTAATTTACTAAATAATTAGTAATTACTGGCAAGTAGAAACGTAAAGGATGTTTGGAATGTGGTTGAAGTTAGCTCTGTTAAATGTTTCAGTAGATTGGTTAGGTTAGTGTAGACGTTATAGTGTCACTAGGTATAGAAATACATGCAAATAAACAGGAAAATAAAATAGCTCAGAGAAAGAATAGTTTCACTTTAACTGAATGAAGAGGTGAAAGTGACGGCGACAGTACTGAACTGACTATGTAAAATACAAATTTGAAAGTAAAAGTGAGAGTTATAAACTTGGTCTTCCAGTTTGTGAAGGAATAATTCATAACTTTGGTAAAAGCATGGTGGAAGTGAAAGTGAAAGAGAAAGTGAATCACCTTGCTCCAGGAAGAAAGTTTAGGCGGAGGAACGATCCTGTCCCCAAGAAGGAGAAGGAAGAAGTAATCACTCTGGTAAAACCCAACACAGTAGTTTGCTCTCAGGTGTTCCATCAGGTATTCGTACACTCTGAAACGTGGGTAAATATCGTTTGGTCGGAATTCTAACATGAATGTTTTGGACGAGAAATACGCAAATGCTGAAATGCCGCAAACCCAAATATAACTTTAATTATATCTCACGACAAAAATAGTCGTTTTTGACACATGTTGGAAAATCTCAACCTTTTATTTTAAAACTTTCAATAACCTACTTTTGTAATACACCCTTGAACGGGTTAAATCCATACGCATATTTGGCAAGCAAGGACGATTTCAATTCGTCAGTGATGAGAGTTGGAAATTCTATCCTATCACTGGCATCGCTTGCAAAGTATAGATCGTAAAACCCTCTCATATCGTTCTTATACCTGAAGTAGTATAGCTAGCTAATTAACTTATTAACTAATTAACTAATTAGATAATTGTTGATCTGTGTGTTTCTCCTTTAAATCTGATATGAAACTTTGTAGAGATTGTTAATTAAACGAATGAATAATGGTATTATGAAATAATTTACGCTGCTATGAATTTATTGCGTTTATTATCCTATTGAACAGTGACATTGTATTACTTAAAGTAATACCATATTATGTAGTATGTAATGGTAAATATTCTATGATGCAGATAGTCAGACGCAACAATGCAACTAACCCTTTTATTTAAAGGTTATACCATAATTGACAAGAAACCAGATGTTCTAAGTGAAGAAAAATGCCTTTGTTTCATGTGGCCAGTCAACAGATTTTTCATTATCAACTTTTACTTTCACTTGTCCTAGTTGTACAATGCAAATAAACATGACGTATTTTATACATGTTGGCTATTGCTCGGGTGACTGTTTTCTATTGCAGCTGAAACTTTTCCTTTATCAGAACTTATAAACACCTCCGGGATAGAATAATCAGCCGGGATAGAATAATCAATTCTGATAATCCCGTAGGGACTACCGGTGGGTGATGAATAATTGAGAATCCAACAGGATCTTGTTCTCTTCATTGTGCTGATTCCGGGAAGCATTCGTTTTACGCTCTAATCCTATTAAAAATCGAGATATCGGTCATTGAAAAATGAGTAATTATAGGCCTGTCAATGATTGCAGCCCAATTAAGAGCTGATCAGTTGCAGCTACTTGTGCCATATAAGGGATAACTGAAGTCACGTGACCACCAATCCTATCACGTGACCTTGATTCGTAAATCCTTGGTCACGTGATCACATTCGTAACGTGTCGAATGCTGACTAGGATATCTCGTGACGTCACCAGAGCTCAAGCTTCCTGACCAGGCCTTATATGGAATAATATAGTGTATCACGTGTAATTGGATCCAATTAAGATGAGCTGCGCAATTATCGCAGCATCTCGATCTGGTATCACCTTTTGAAACCCAGCAGGCAGCTGGGCCAGAGATTTTAAAATAGAAGGATTTTTTGTTGATGAAAATCGAAGCGAAAATCATGTAACCCTATGTTTCCGAGGACGCCGAACACGATAAAACTGGTTATAATTATCATACTCAAGGGCAAATTGCTTTAAAATGCACTTGAATGTCATCTAGATGTTATTATAAGCTAAGCGCCTGAGCGGCTTATCGGGTGGCACCAGTCTCTCTGCCGAATCTCAGTAATTGTAAACAACTAATAATCGGGCTTATGAAGGAAAGATCTCAAGTTCAGAAGACGAAAGAAATTTATTCAAATATTTGCTTAAGATTAACGAATACGGATTTCAACCAATATCGAAGCCGGGATAGAATAATCAATTCTGATAATCCTAAATCCCGGCTCCCGCTGTTAATTTTGTCCCGGCTTAATAAATAACCCCAGCAGTTTTTATAATCCCTCCCCGCTTTGGCTCAACTAGATTTGGTTTGTTTCAATACTTCCAAGCTTAACTCGACGCCCCTTAAATCAATATCATTTATTGATATTCATTCAACGTTCGGATCGAGGAACTATTTAAAAATAGAACGCCAATTTCAACCGTCATAGTACCTTAGTTTTATTCATCTAGTAGTCTAATATACGCCTAATTCCATTTACTGATCTCATATAGTTAGAATGAAAGGTAATTATTAAAACGAATTAGCCCTAGCACTTAGCAGCATCCTGGAGGAGTTTATAACACAAAACGCCGGCACGCTTAAGGTTATATTAAAATAACCCCTCGTGGTAAAACACGTCGGCGTTATCTTCATAACAATCCCTCGTGCTTCGCATCGAATTTATTACAAAATTTTCCAGCGCGTCGCGGAAAATTTGAAATATAATCCCTGTGCGTGCCGGCGTTATGTGAATTGTACTGTCCTGCCTTGGATTATTTAAGTGTTAAGTTTTATCGGGATCTTTGAAAAAATCCAGTGAAAACTCTTAAGAAATATTGAGTATTAGGATAGTAAATATTTTCATCATTAGTATATTAGATGAATTGAAGCTCTAGACCTACTATTGGTTCATGTCATATTTCGTACAATTTATTTGAATATAATCTTCACTTCAGCTGAAGATGGTATTCCAGCCCCGCTACATGAACGCCAAAAAAGTGATGTTAGTATTAGGGGTAATATTTACAGTATCATTTCTACTACAAACACCTATCATAGAACAATATAGCGTCCTCCCATTAACGGATATAATATTGTTAGAAGAAACCACCAACTATAGGATCCAACTAGCAGAAACAGGACGATGTATCGTGTCTCCTGATGGGTTTAATCTAGAATTTTTATTCTGTGAACCCACACAACATCAAACATTTAAATTCCTAAATGATGGTAGTTTAGTGTTCACCAGCAATGGTCTCTGTGTGGTACTGGGAAAGAGTGAAGCCGAACCGAGGCTCCTCCTCAAGCTGGGACATTGCAGTAAAGCAGTCGCATTTCAATTAGTAGGGTACTCCTATCTTCAACTTCGAGATGATGCTAAGTTGTGTGTTTCACGTTACAAACTAAGTCAGCCTAATCCAGCAGTCTTGTCGCAATGTACAGAGATCTCATCACGCTTTAATATTATAAAAGAGAGTAACTTCATCGCCAGAAGGAAAGCTCTCGTGCAGCCAGCACCAGTGGACAATCCTGACTGTAACTTTCCTGCTTGCAATATAAACAAGAGACCACCCCCTGTGAAGCTGCTCCCTTCTAGCGAGGTAACGAGATGTTACAACTTGACAGAGTGTGTGACTGTTGTTATCAAAACCGCCAGAAGGCCTCATCTGGTGTTACGACTAGCTCAATCTTTGAGAGATGTCAAGGGTTACGATTTGCCTATCATAGTGTTTGATGATGGGGTGGGCCCTCATTCAGATGAAATGATGAGTAAAATAGCCGCTGTTTCCAACCTGAAGTATATAATTGGCGATGAGAAAGACATTGGGATAGCCCTGGGGAGAACAAGAGCTTTAAAAATGGTTGAGACCAAGTATTTTCTCTTGTGTGACGACGACTTGATTTTCGAAGAAATCACAGATATAGAGCTGTTTGCTGAAATCTTGGATACCACTGACGCTTCAGTTGTAGGCGGTAAATTTCATAGATCCAAACTTTTCGGAGGTTATCTTCACTTTACCTCCTTAGATAATAAAAACGAACCAACAGATTTAAGGATATTAAACTTCTACCAGGGGGCGTGTTCGAGAATAAATGAGACTATTGTTGGTTTTCCAAGCTGTTTCAGATGTGAGATAACCCCAAATATCTTCATGGCGAAAACAACTGATGTAATACAAGTCGGTTGTTGGAGTGAAGAGCTGAAGATTACGGAACACAAGGATTTGTTTCTAAGACTGAAAGCAGCTGGAAAGAAAGTGGTGTCGTGTCCAAATGTTAAAATATTCAACAAAGGCGAGAACTTCACAATTAACAAGGAAACAGGATTTTTCAATCTGAGAGTTGCGCGGTTAGCTAAGATGAGAAGAATGTTTGCAAATGTCTGGAACGTGCATAAAGAAAACAATTGGGATCCTCAAAATGATGCTTTCTTTAAACATAAAGATAAGATTCTCAGTTAATGTTTCTAAATATCGTTGTACTCTTTAAATTGGTGTATACTTGTTGTTCATGTCATACTTAATCAATAGAAATTATATAGGGGGGGGGGGGGGGGCCGGGGGTGTCATGTCCGTCTATGTCCGCCTATGTCCTGTCCTTTTTGGATTCTATGAGACAACGGACGTGTTTTTTGGGACATTGGCGGACTCGGACGGACATTGGCGGACTCGGACGGACATTGGCGGACCCGAACGGACATTGGCGGACTTGGATGGACATTAGCGGACATTGGTGGACATTAGCGGACAAACATTTTGAGGAATGAAGAGTACTGAAGAGTACTGAAGAGTACTGAGGAGGATGGCTGAGAAGGATGGCTGAGGAGGATGGCTGAGGAGGATGACTGAGGAGGATGACTGAGGAGGATGACTGATAGGGAGGAGAAGGATCAGGAAGACCCAGGAGGAGGAGGAGGAGGAGGACCCAGAAGGAGGACCTAGGAGGAGGAGGAGAACTGAGGAGGATGACTGAGGAGGAGGAGCTACTGAGGAGGAGGACTGAGAAGGAGGAGGACTGAGGAGGATGGCTGAGGAGGATGGCTGAGGAGGATGACTGAGAGGGAGGAGGAGGAGGAAGAGGAGGAAGAGGACTGAGGAGGAGGAGGAGAAGGACTGAGGAGGAGAAGGAGGACCCAGGAGAAGGAGGACCCAGGAGGAGGAGGACCCAGGGGAGGAGGAGAACTGTTGAGGACTGATGAGGAGGACTGAGGACGAGGAGGAAGAGTAGGAGGAGGACTGAGGAGGGGAGGAGGAAGAGGACTGGGGAGGATCAGGAAGACCCAGGAGGACCCAGGAGGAGGAGGAGGAGGAACCAGGAGGAGGAGAAGGACTGAGGAGGACTGAGGAGGAGGACTGACGATGACTGAGAAGGAGGAGGACTGAGGAGTACTGAGGAGGATGGCTGAGGAGGATGGCTGGGGAGGATGGCTGAGGAGGATGACTGAGGAGGATGACTGAGAGGGAGGAGGAGGACTCAGGAGGAGGACTCAGAAGGAAGAGGAGGAGGACTCAGGAGGAGGACTCAGGAGGAGGACTTAGGAGAAATGAGAAGGATGACTGAGGAGAACTGAGGAGGAGGAGGAGGAGGACTGAATAGGAGGAGGAGAAGGAGGGGGACTGGGAGAGGACTGGGGAGGAGGAGGACTGATGAGAAGGATGAGGAGGAGGGCCCAGGAGGAGTCAGGAGGAGGACTGAGGACCGAGGAGGAAGAGGAGGAGGATGAAGAGGAGGAGGAGGACCCAGGAGGAGGAGGACTGAGGAGGAGGACTGAGGAGGACTGAGGAGGACTGAGGAGAATGGCTGAGGAGGATGACTGAGAGGGAAGAGGAGGAGGAGGATGAGGAGGACTGAGGAGGACTGAGAAGGAGGAGGAGGAGGAGGTGGACTGAATAGGGGGAGGAGGAAGGGGACTGGGGGAGGACTGAGAAGGAGGATGGAGGACTGAGGAGAAGGATGAGGAGGAGGACTGAGGAGGACAGAGGACTGAGGAGGAAGAGGAGGAGGATGAAGAGGAGGAGGAGGACCCAGGAGGAGGACCCAGGAGGAGGACTCAGGAGGAGGAGGAGGACTGTTGAGGACTGATGAGGAGGACTGAGGACGAGGAGGAGGAGTAGGAGGAGGACTGAGGAGGGGAGGAGGAAGAGGACTGAGGAAGATCAGGAAGACCCAGGGGGAGGAGGAGGAAGAGTAGGAGGAAGCATCTAAATGTTATTTCCATTTTTGTCCGTTTTTGTCCATTTTTGTCCGTTTTTGTCCGCTCTATTTTTTGTCCGTTTTGAAAATATAGGGTACCGAACGGACAAAAAACATGATCCCCCCTATAACAGCAAAAATTGAACATTTTATTTAGCAATTTAGGTGTCCATTAATGTCCGCCTATGTCCGCCTATGTCCGTCTATGTCCGTCTATGTCCGCCTATGTCCGCCTATGTCCGCATATGTCCTGTCCTTTTTGGATTCTATGAGACAAGCGGACATAGACGGACGTGACACCCCCCCCCTCCCAATTTTGTAAAATTTGTAAACAAAATTTGTTTTTCAAATATCTTAAATTTGGTACTAAACGTTTTGTCTCTCCAAACTAAAAACAATCCAGTAAAAATTTTTCCGAAAGTTATTAAGTTTTTATGTTTTCTATCTCGATTTCAAAGTCTCCACCTCTGACCTCACCCTCGATATACGATCTTGGAGTCGAGGCTTGTAATGCAATCTCGGAGGGCAGGCAATACGAGTTCGAAAGCGGGAAGAACATTTAATTTTCTAAGTTAAACATTTTAAACTACTTTTCTCTACAGTTCATTTCACCCTGATCGTTTTAAGTCGAAATTTATTTCTCAGGACCTAGCCCTCGAGAATTTTTCCTGGAAATTAATGACATTTCTGATTGATATACGGCCAATCACTTTCTAAACTACTTACTAAAGTAGGATATCCGGTCAATTTCTAAAATTAACACTATCAGAGTGAAATTGAGTGGAATTTGAATTAAAATATTTTCAAATTTGTTATTATTCTAGAGGGTACAAAATAAAATTTTGATTACGTTATCAACAACCACTTGGTTCCCACTTCAGGATGACACCAAATTATTTTTTGCAGTTGCATAGTTTTTCCCATCTGGTGCAGTTTAGTAGATCAACAGTGTTGCTAGGCTTTAATTTTATATTTAACTAGAAAACCCGTGGTCACAGGGAGGAAGCTAATAGTATTATTTTGTAGTCAGTTTTTATCGCATTAAAAAACATCCGTCACAACCGAAGAAACAGCCGATTAAAATGTTGTTCGCACTAAACAGTAAACACAACGTAATATCAAAAAACCGATAAAAATGCCGTTTTAACAATCTTTGCACGTGCACGTGCGTGTAATAACCCTCGTTACCATGGTTACTATGCAACTACTTATTTTCATATAATTTGCACGTGGGGCGTGGGCGGTCGTACAGACAGACATTCTACAGACAGCATAAATAATTCTTTGAATTATAAGTAAGATATTTAATTAACCGGTTTTTTGCCACTTCTTAATTTTAATATTATCTCATGCATCTATTTTACATTCGAACCTTTACCTTCTTATCTATAGTTCTTCGGCTTTTTAAAATACTTATCAGATTTTACGAGCCTTTTCATTTTAAGAGATAAGGGTTTTGGGGAAATAAGGACTTCTGAAATTTTCACCCAATATTGGTTGAGATTCGGTGCTCTTCTCGAATTATTAGTTTTTTATCGTTACGAGAGCGTTTTATTTAGTACAACTCACTAAGTATAAGTATTGTTTAAATACAGACTCCGTCAGCCTTCCACCTTTCTTGTTTATAAACAGACTGAGCCATCACATTGGGAATCACAGCTCACCGGAGTTCACTGTCAGTACTTCGTACAGCCACTACCGTCGCGAGTTATAGACTTCTTAACAGTTAACTCCTCGTTTACCGGGAGTTTAATATTAAGATCGTATCTTGTTTTAGACAGATACACCCGTAGCTTGTTTTTAGACAGTTACGTTTATTTGTTAACTCCTCGTTTATCGGGAGCAGCCAGTAGGTTTTAGACCTTGTTTGATACAGGTCCATTTTAGCTCTTAGTGCTATTTCTCGTTCATCGGGAGTTGTCACTAATTTATCAGCGCATATCTCGTTTCAAACAGATATATCGTTCCTTACTCCTCAATTACCGGGAGGCGGGAGCCGCTTACATAGATTGTTTAGAAGTAGTTTGTTTGTAACAACTACTGTCGCCCTAGCCTTTGACCAGGGAGCGCCCTCCGGTTGCCGTATTATAACCGTTTTCTACTAAGAAGAGAAGCACCAAAGGCATGCAAGGGGAGTGAGCCGATCAAGTGGTCTTAGGTATACAGCAGGGTGTCAGAAACTGACCATCAGATTGATCATTTCCGAAAGCTTGGGTAAGCTAACATTTTACGCAAAATTGTCTACGCGCCAATAATTATGACACCCTGCTGTATATACTGGAAGATAGAAGGTAGTAGTATCGCATTCTTTCAACAGTCATGCATTCCTTCTCCAGGTTCCTCAATGGTTTCAGATGATGTCAACAGGTGCTTGATTCTGACGGATATATGATCTACAGCAGGAAAAAATCTGATGACACCGTCCTCTCATCTGCTTGGCGTTTCCAGAAGAGCAAATCTCTTAAATGTCCCTGCCACTGCTACCTCGCTCTCACAGACAACACTCAGGCCACTAAACTTAGAATTTGAAAGATAGGATAAGTTTCAATGAGTGACTATTTTGTAAGTATCTGAACATGTCTTGCAGCTAAGTTATAGCCAATCCTAGCAAGGATCTATCGGATAGTAGTAAGATTTTTAACACAATAATTTTCTTCATATCCAGACGGTGAATATTGATTATGGGTCATCCTCAAGAGACAAGATGGTCATGTTAATTTAGTGGAACAACACATTAACGGTCCTGGAGTTGAAAAGCATTACTTGAATAGAGATTTCATCCACTTACTTGGATGAAATTAACTCCATTGAACTGGAGAGTAAACCGCGGTCAGATGGCTGATAAAGAAACACGTTAACTTTAACCATCTGCACTGTTATTGTTTGGAATAAATCTTAAATTTCCCTTGAGCCTGTGTTTGTTCCTGGACCTCAAAACACCAACTGGTGAGTAAAGAAGTGAAGCAGGCACGTGCAGCTCCACTGTACCTTTTGTTAAACTAACTTTCTCGGAACTTTCTCGGAACTTTCTCGGAACCGAATCCGAATCCTGCCCTTCCCTAGAAGTCGAACAAAAATTGAGAGCGTTTTCATTAGTGAACATGCGCTCTAAGAATTTGCACGTGTTGGAGCATTATTCAAGAAACAAAGAGCTTTTATCAATAAGACTGCTGTAGGCAGAGAGCCCTGTGGAGGCGGGATTGAGGAGAGTTACGAATATTATATAAGCAGTGGTCTGAGGTCCAGATATCAGAAGGTAGCCTTAGTTTTATTGGACTGTATCGTTATGACGTGTCAACTGTCTACCGGCAAGTTCCCATGCAAAAACAATCAGCATCGTGATTGAAGGGCAGGGTCATTTTATAATTGTTTGGTTTGTTACCTTACAGTTGTTACAACTTTTCTATTTCACACCACATCGAATAATGATATGTGAAATTCATTCCCTCGTTTTTTTTTTAAGCAAGTGGTTGCTGGATGGCTGTTTTGTTATTACAGCTTCCTTGAGATGAGTAATATGCCTCGAGATGTGTAATATATAGTGCGCAACTGTTATTTGTTTTTGAAACTTCCCACCTTAGACTGGCGTCTGAGGTGGCTCCCAGTCTGTCCTCATAATACTCAATATTTTGTTTAACCCAGTGGTTGCTGGTTAGCTGTTTTGTTATTACAGCTGCCGAGAGATCTTATCTGTGGCACTCATACTAGAACATTAGAACTGTAATCCTAGAATCTCAGATTAAGATTACTTGGCTGAATAGCAGGGTTAGAGATTCGACCGAGGGCACTCAGGTAACATACCAGGTTTAGACAACCGGTTGAGGGCAAGTCTCTGAATCTCAATTTCCATAGTCGGATCACGGGGTTAATATAATAGCAAGTCTTGAAATTTGTCCACAAGTGTATTTTAGAGTGAGTCTAAGTGACCAAAATCTGCCTTACGTGGTCGATCTCTTACTTTTCGGACACTAGGGGACAAGGGTCGGATCTCGGGCCCAATAGCTAGATAGTTCACGTAAGGATAGCATGAGGATTGAGGGTAACGCTGCTTATCTATTAACAGCAACACATTTTCTGGATTACATGAGCGATAAGAAGTTTGTTAAGTAGATACATATTATCACAGTTTTAATATTATTACATGGCACATTATACGATTGAATTAATATTGTTATTAAAATGCTCATTGTAGCCATATAATTTAGATTTTCATCATCATAATATTGTGTTGCTCATGAGTCTAGTCTTAGCCCAATAGCCCATTTGTGAGTATTTTCATTTTTCGCTCGACAAAAATCCGTTTTTCAGTTTTATAGTTTCAGTTTTTTTAGTTTCAGTTTTTTTTAGTTACTACGACCTTCCTAGGCGGTAATGCCAAAAATCCCTTTTTCAGTTTCAGTTTTTTTAGTTTCTACGACCTTCCTAGGCGGAAATGCCAAAAATGACGGAAATTATGAACTGCGTTAAGCCAAGAACCCTTTTTCGACCATATTTCCGAAAATAAGCAATTTAAGGCATATTATATCTTACTAGTATCTTACTATATATAAAGCGAGACGATATATATATATATGTGTATATATCTGTGCCATTTTACTGACACCACGGCATCAACTTTAACGCGACTTTCCGCAAAAACCGTAAAACATATACAACTGAAACTTTTTTGACTGGTTCAAATGCTTTAATGGCCTTCAAATCAGCATGAAAAAATAAAAATTGGCCAAGGAATAATAATTTTAGTGCCCAAAATTTGGACTCTCAAGTGGTGTCAAAAACGCGAATTAAATAGGTAATAATTATTTTAGTCTCTCGAGTCTTGACACCACTTTAGGGTTAGACGGGTTCCTGCTAGTATATGTAAAGCGAGACGATATATGGTTCCGTGCCATTTTACTGACACCATGGCATCGACTTTCCGCAAAAACCGTAAAAGATATACAAGTGAAACTTTTTTGACTGGAGGACTGGGTCAAATGCCTTAATGGCCTTCAAATCAGCATGAAAAAATAAAAAATTGGCCAAGGAATAAGAATTTTAGTGCCCAAAATTTGGACTCCCAAGTGGTGTCAAAAACGCGAATTAAAGAGGCAATAATTAATTTAGTCTGTCGAGTCTTGACACCACTTTAGGGTTAGACGGGTTCCTGCTAGTAATGATAATATTTAAGTTGTACTATGGTTATTATTTATTAGGCACATTATCACCTCTTTCTGAGAACATGCAAATTTGAAGTTTAATATTGTCTCCACAAAGTTTGAAGTTTAGTGTTTTCACGAATCAAATTTAAAATGTAATGTCTTCAATAAAATGTCTTCAAAAATAAAATTATGTATGAATGAGTAGTGAGTACTAGATAAATGAAAGAATGTCCGAATTTATAATATTGTATGAAAATAAATGGTCCAATAGTGGCAGTTTAATAGAGGCCGTTTATAGGCCGCATAGTGGTCGTATGGTGGCTGTATAGAGGTCTTATCGTGGCTCTTTATAGACTGTATAATAGTGACATAACTAATCTTCCAATTTCCCAGTTTGGGAAATTCTGACTTTGTAACTAACTGATTTTGCTACAATTAAAACTACTCCGGAACTTACAACCTTTCCTTAGCTCAGAGGTCCTCGAAATGAAGATTTCAGGTGAAAAACGAAAGTGGCTGACCATTTTTACTATCATCTTCTATGCCCATGCCTCGAGTGTTTGTGCCTCTATTCGGTATGGTTTCCTAGCAGATGCTTTTTCGAGAAGAAATATCCCCGGAAAGATATACGGTTTGGTCGGAACAAGTCTGTTCCTCGGTTTTGGGTTTATGTTTTTCTCCCAGGGAACGGAAAAGTTGATGAGAAAATGGAGCAGCAGGTCCATCCTGCTACTAAGCATGTTAGGATGGGCAATTGTTTCGCTTCTCACTGGCTTTGCTTACAGTATTCCCGATACAACTGTTGTTATAGCCATCTCATTTGTGTTAAGGATATGTCAGGGAGTTTTGTCATATACAAGCACTCTTGTACCGATCGATTTCATCAATGCAAACTTCCCCGAAGAGTTTGACATGGTAAACGGGCTCGTGAATATGGGTTACTTTAGTGGGCATGGGGTGGCTGAAGCTGTTGGCTGTGTCATCTATGACAAAATAGGATACACGGCAGCTTACGGATTCACTGCGGTCGTTGCACTTCTTGCAGCAACAAGTTCCTTTTTCTTCATTCCTAATACAAGAACATACTTGTCCACTCAAGATGACATATCGGATGATGATCAAACGATGTTAAAAACAGGATCGAAGAAAAATAAGCTCACAAAGTTATTAATAATTCCAATGATAGCTACAATGCTCATTAATGCAAACTATGGAGTAATTCAAGTACGGTTTTTCATTTTCGCAAACATTAATGCAGACATAATATTATATAACAATAATTAATGATCACGTCTTCTAATTATATATTTAAACTACATCTCTCACCCACTTCGTTCCAAAATCCTTTTAGGCAACATATACGTATTCTTCAGGTCACAGTAACCCCCTTTCTGAAGGAAGAGTTCAACAAGTCTATTTCTTACGGCGGAACAGTTCTGACACTAGTGTCAATTGGAATGGCGACTGGGAGCGTTAGTGTAGGCGTAATTCTCCAGAAAAAGATTCTAAACCCCTTGACTGCGATGGGGATTGGTGCCACGTGTATCTTCACTGGACTTCTGGTAACTTTCCCTCCACAATCTTTACCTGCTTTGTATGAACTCAGTCCAATACTGGCATATCCTGGAGTCTTCACAGCTGGTTTGGGGGACCCCATTATGACTATAGCTACCCTTAGAGCCCTCTGTGACATCCAGGTATGTGCTTTAGAGTTCGGACATTTTCAAATTGTCACCACCTTAACATTAAGAACTAAGAAGTAAGTAGTGTATCTAGGCTCTGTGCCGCCCGACCTCTAAATCAAAGCATGGGGGCTAGCTATCTAAAAATACAATTAAATACATCACAACATAGTACGTACAAAATAATTCATTCTTTTAGCTGCAGAAAAAGGGGTTGTTGACCCCGAAAATGGTAACAAGGATAACCTCGATATGGATTGTAGGATACAGCTCCATGTATTATGCAGGATCTTTCATCGCCGGGACACTAATGGACTACTTTTCTTACTCAGGTATGTTGAACATTTATGAAATGAAAATGAAAATGAATTGAAATGAGGTATTTTCTTACGATTACGTCATGATTAACCAACAACACAAGGAATGTGCGTCAATGTGAACAAAACTATAATTTATAAAATTTGAATAAAAGTATAATTTACATTTACATTTAAACATTCAAAACAATAGTTTTCTTTGCACAACTTTAATAAAAGTTGAAATTATACCCTAAACAGTGTATAATATAATTATTAAAATGTTATAGATTTCCTTATCATATTATATTTTCAGCGTCAGCAGAGATTTTAGCTGGATTCTGTCTCATAGCTTTACTTATCTGTATTGGGATGAGACTTTACGTCAAAGATAAGGCTGACGAGGACAAAGAAAAGGTGGCATTGATCAAACAATGAAGCTGGTGGTAAAGATGAACTGTTTTAATAATTGACAATATAGATTTTATCTGTTTCAAACAAGTGAAACACTTGAAATGTGTCGACAAAAGAATTAATTCGTGAAATATGAAACAATTTGTGTCAAATTAGAATGGTGAAAGCTAGTTAAAATTTATGTTTTGGCCTTTTATAAATACATAATTTTAAAATACAGATGACTGGTCATCGCTATAATTATTATTGATTTTTCTAATATATTATATGTGCGATATTTTAGTAATGAGACAATTAATTATTATTAACTGATCATTGATTTCATCTAATTATGAAGAATACCTTTTTTATAAACATTTAATTATTTGATATAACATGATCATGGTTTCCATGACTCAAACGAAAGATGAAAGGCGTACCTTAAACGATAGAAAGGTTATAAAGTGATGAGATATTCTCTTCTATTTTTCAATTTTTGTAAAATTTTATTTAAATTAGAGATTTTTTGTTTGCATTCTTTCAAACTAGTCGGAGACCAACCGTTCTAAAAGGCCATTTCGTTAGCTTTTCGTGTTAAAAGCGATTTCTCGACGGTTATCATCTCTCTATAATTTATGATGCTTAAAACATTTGGACTTCATTGCATTTTTGTACTAAATGCAATGAGGGCGTTTTGGGCCACACCCTTTTCTATGGTTTTGCGGTCACTCGAATTTTTGTATTTTGGCCCAGGAAAGCAGGAAGGTCGTAGAGACTATTCCGATACACCATAATGTGCCTAATAGCCATATTGATATACAACTTATAAAGCACATTAGTCACTATCAACTATAGGCCACATTTTTCACTGCCCATTCACTGTCATATTGATAGCGTCATATTGATAGTGCTAGCAGGTGCTGATAAGACATGGGCTCAGTTATTCTTATTTGTTTTCACTTCAAACAAGAGCACTATACTGATACAGAGCACTATACTATCGACTCTGCACTGCCCACTAGGCACCAATCGTTAATCGGAATCCGACACAAGTAGCTTATAAAACAGTGCGTGAATTGAGTAAGCCCAACAGTGTACATTGATAGCTGCACTGGGTGTAATAACAATCTGACCCCTCATCACAATAGAACACATGTATAGATTGGTATCAACATAATGGATTTGTTGGGCACCATCGGAATCAGGCATTTAAGCTCAGGCAGTCAGGTTATGTATAATAATCTACAATATGACTATATCTTCCAGCACATTTTGTAAGTCCCATTGTATCTCAGTTTAGCTAGTGATTGTCGACAGGTATGTTGAACATTTATGAAATGAAAATGAAAATGAATTGAAATGAGGTATTTTCTTACGATTACGTCATGATTAGCCAACAACACAAAGAATGTGCGTCAATGTGAACAAAACTATAATTTACAAAATGTGAATAAAAGTATAATTTACATTTACATTTAAACATTCAAAACAATAGTTTTCTTTGCACAACTTTAATAAAAGTTGAAATTATACCCTAAACAGTGTATAATATTATTAAAATGTTATAGATTTCCTTATCATATTATATTTTCAGCGTCAGCAGAGATTTTAGCTGGATTCTGTCTCATAGCTTTACTTATCTGTATTGGGATGAGACTTTACGTCAAAGATAAGGCTGACGAGGACAAAGAAAAGGTGGCATTGATCAAACAATGAAGCTGGTGGTAAAGATGAACTGTTTTAATAATTGACAATATAGATTTTATCTGTTTCAAACAAGTGAAACACTTGAAATGTGTCGACAGAAGAATTAATTCGTGAAATATGAAACAATTTGTGTCAAATTAGAATGGTGAAAGCTAGTTAAAATTGATGTGTTGGCCTTTTATAAATACATAATTTTAAAATACAGATGACTGGTCATCGCTATAATTATTATTGATTTTTCTAATATATTATATGTGCGATATTCTAGCAATGAGACAATTTATTATTATTAACTGATCATTGATTTCATCTAATTATGGAGAATACCTTTTTTTTATAAACATTTAATTATTTGATATAACATGATCATGGTTTCCATGACTCAAACGAAAGATGAAAGACGTACCTTAAACGATAGAAAGGTTATAAAGTGATGAGATATTCTCTTCTATTTTTCAATTTTTGTAAAATTTTATTTAAATTAGAGATTTTTTGTTTGCATTCTTTCAAACTAGTCGGAGACCAACCGTTCTAAAAGGCCATTTCGTTAGCTTTTCGTGTCAAAAGCGATTTCTCGACGGTTATTATCTCGTGGTCGTAGAAACTATTCCGATACACCAAAGTGTACCTAATAGCCATATTGATATACAACTTATGAAGCAACATATTATACCTTAAATGCCTATTTTCGGAAATATGGCTGAAAAACGGATTTTTGCCAAACGAACAATGAAAATACTTACAAATGGGCTATTGGACTGGTTACAAGAAAGATCCTAAAGATTCATGAGGAACATAACATTTTTCCGAAGATGCAAGATAACTGACTTGGTGTCCAGAAACATCTAAAAAGTTGGAGAATGATATACCTTACAAGACATATTTATGTGGATCATAATTAGCGGGGATCGAAATTATGGGGGAACGAAAATATGGGGATTTTTTTCAGAAATACAGTAATTTAGTACGAAATTTCAGAAATTCAGTACGAAAATATGGGGATTTTTTCCCATTTTTTCCAAAAATCCCCAAATTCCGTACCATATAAATATGTCTCGTAAGGTACTTAATTGGGCATTTCTCTTAATGGGCCAGGCACATTTGCGTCTTACAAAAGGGCAATATTTCAAAATAACGAGATGGCCTTTTACAACGGTTGGTCTCCGACTATAAACACCAAACACTAGAAACACAACTAACTTAGTCAGAGAATGTCAAGCTCCCACGCGGGGAAATTGGTAGATCACCGACCGGCTATAAGCCGGCTACTAACCGGCTATAAGCCGGCTTATAGCCGGCTACAATTTTTATAGCCGGCTTTAGCTTAGGGTAAAGTGAATTTTAGTGCGGGAGGAGGTCTTAATGACCAAAATCTGGCTTACGTGAACAATATCTTACTAACGGGACACTAGGGACCTGGGACAAGGGTCGGATCTCGGGCCCAATAGCTGTTTTGAGACTAGAGAGGCTGGACATAGGTGGTCAGCGTGACGGTAGCATGAGGATTTGGGATGCTCTGCCTGCCTTTGGGGTCTTGCAACCCCGAAAGCTGGTATATATTATCTAACGTAATCGTGGTTACATCCCGTGCTGTTTTGAATATATGATTAGATTTATGGGTCCAATATCAAGCGAAATAGTCTGATCTCCGGTACTGATGTTATACTAACAGGTCGGATCTCCGATCTTAAAGTTGGATCCTCTCTTCCAGAGTGAAACAGGAGATTCAGTGTTATTAAATCAAAATCGGATTCGTAGCACAATTGAAAACCCAGATAATTAAAATCTACAATATGAATTTCCCGACATCCTAAAATTAATATCTGGTCGTTTTTGATTCAGTGGGTCAGTGGCCAAACTCCAGTAGGTTACAAGACTTAGTAAGTTCAAGTCGAGAAAAACTTTGATTTATAAGCATGATCCTTGCCTAGTTGGATTTATCACAATATATGATGCAGTAGTTGCCTTATCGGACTTTGTTTGAACGGACATAAATTCCGAGCTCGTACTGCGAAGGGGAGGTCTGCTATCCGAGATCGCATTACAAGGGGATTCCTCGAGTCGAAAATCGTATATCGAAATTCAAAGGGTAGGTGTGGACTTCGAAAACCGAAAGATTATTTTCGGCTCAATTTTAACATGGTTTTTAAGGCAGCTGAATATGCTTTTCTGCAAAGAAACAAGTCTCAAATATAAAACACGGCGGTGGTATAATAAGACCCAACGTATGTACACCAAGATCCGTATCTACAAGGCTGCTGTTATTACTATTCTGTTATATGGAGCTGAAGTGTGGAACACAACAAAGAAGCAGATGAAACGGTTTGAGGTCTTCCATCTGACCTCCCTGAGAAGAATCTTAAAGTGGTTCTTCCATGTCTCCAATGAAGAAGTTCTCAGGCGTGCTGGAATTAAGTCTATCGAAACTTTCATCGGTGCGGCTAGACTAAGGTGGTACGGACATGTTGTCAGAATACCAGAGACGCGGTTCCCCAATTTCTTACTGGATTGGAAACCAAACTATGGAAAGAGACTGAGAGGACGACCCCGCAAAGGCTGGATGGCCTGTGTACTCGAGGATGCGGCTGAATTTACAGGTGTCGATAACATCAGCAGAGATGCAGTAAAACAGTTGGCTCTAAAGCGAGTGGAATGGAGGAACATGTTACGCCGTAGAAGAGATGTGTGTGATGCAGGCCACTCCAACGACTAGGAGGAGACCTCTTCATGTAGCATGTATGTATGTGTATGTACACTGACTATTAACCCCCCCCCCCTCCCCCCTTTGGCAGTCAGCCTTTAAGTAAATTTTGTATTATATTGGGGGGGGGTGTCATGTCCGTCTATGTCTGCCTATGTCCTGTCCTTTTTGGATTCTATGAGACAACGGACGTGTTTTTTGGGACATTGGCGGACACGGCCCCTATCAAGATTCTAAAAAAAGTGCGATGAGATTGGATTTTGACACTAAAAGTGCGATTTTCACGTGTCACGTGCAGTGGCGAAATGTACTCCCCACACCCCCCCCCCCCCCCCCCCCCCCCCCCCAGCCTGCAAGATTTCTTGCCCCACAAATTATTTTCTATTTAAAAAGATTTCGCGAGTCCCTTTGTAAGCGAAATTGTAAGTATGTCGCTTTATATTGCTCGATGTTTATTTCTCAGAATTGTAAGTATGTCACTGTTATTGGATCCATAAATAACGAAAAATTTACGTGCGTATTTTTATGAATTATATTATGTTACATATTGTTATTTTGGTAAGCCTCACGTAGCACGATGGTTTAGGGCGCGATCGTCAAGCAGTTGACTCGGGTTCGAGTCTCGTCAGCAGTCATTCTTTTGGCAATTATTAATTATTTTACTAAACTTATCATCAGAGCACCTTGTAATATACGTTATCCGATAGATTATACTGTTCGTACTTCATCTAGAGAAGACTGGCATTTAAGGATTTGTCCGGGGAAGGCCTCGTTCACACTGGAACATGTCAAATTATTGTAAACGGAGTTATCTGGTAATGTTTGTTTTGTTTATGGCTAGAATTTAGAATGGAATCAATGTGATGAGGATCCAGAGTTAATTACCTGCTAGGATTAATAAGTCAGTTCTCCAGTTGAAGAGACCCTTTCTCAAACTTTTAATGAAGAAATATTCACTATGCCTATGGCAGTATCAAGTATATTCTGAGAAAGATGGAGTAGACTGTAGCCAGGAATAGTACCTTGAGATTTAGACCGTTACCGGACCTCCTTTAATGGTAACCATGGTAACTATAGTACTAACCACTGTGAATCTTGATCTTATAACAAC